TTATAATTATTGGCCTTATTAGTACAATATAGAATTCTCAGCACAAAGTATCTCAACAAGTTTCTTCTTATTTCTTGATCGATCCTGACCATATATATTGAGTGATCGCAAGTTAGTTGTTAGCAGTTGAGGAATAGATATTTTATTAATGTACATCAAAAACTTAATAATCTCCACAACCGCTATACTAGTAATACATTCTTCTGGTTGGATATTGCCTGCAACCATGATGTCTGTGAATACACTTTTTTGTAACTGATATACAAACGCACTTGAATAGGTTATGCGATTAATAGACATAATGATAAGTTATAACACACACGCACACACACACACGAAACAGATATTTTATTGAAATATCTAAATGACAGGAAAAGGTAGCCCAAATTGAATCATTTTTTTAACGAATTAGTTTTCTACAGGATGGAGTCACTAACCTCATACCTAACCCTCCTCCTTTATCCGAGCTTGTGACCGGTAGTATCCCCAAATAGAGCCCAGGAGGAGTTAAGTAACCCAGATACTCAATAAATGACTGAACAAGCCAAAACGAAAATTATTTCTATCTATCTATCTATCTATCTATCTATTATTATTATTATTATTATTATTATTATTAGCTTTATTCAATATTATATTATTGGTACAATATAGAATTCTCAGCACAAAGTATTTCAACAAGTTTCCGTTTCTTTCTTCTTGGTCGGTCCTCGCGATAAATACTGAGTGATCGCCAGCTAGATGTTATCAGTCCAGTAAATGAATATCTGAATAATGTACATTCTTTTCGTTGTATATTGCCAGCAACAATATTCTCTCTTTTTGAGCTTTTTGTAACTTTGATAACGAAAGGTTGTACACTTTTCAGAAACGCAGCAGAATAGGTTGTGAGATTAATAGACATAATGATATATTAAAACAAACAAAGATAGATAACTTGTCGAAATATCTAGATGGCAGGAACAGGTAGCCCAGATGCTCAAGCAGGCCTAATGCTTCTATTATATATAAACACACAATAATAATAATAATAATAATTTGTTACTCAATTAATCAATAACACGGAAACCAAACAACGTACCATGATGGATAACATTTTCTCAAAGTTAATTTATATTGTCGTTGATACTAATTGGAATGAGCAACTTAATGGATTTCTTCCAGGTTATTATTATTATTATTGAATTTACAGTATTTTAATAATGCGTAAACAATAATCTTAGAAAAGAGTCAAACAACAAGGTTATATAACTTGAAACAAAAAAAAACTCTATGCTTTTATTAAGTGACAAAAGAGAGGGAGATGAGGAGGTGGGGAGGGTGAAAGGGGGAGAAGGAAGTAAACACTAACATGACATCTTTTTTTTTGTTTTTTTCTTGTTGGTTGGTCGAAAATAATAAGGAAATTTAATTAATTAACATTGATGGAAATAAAATAATTTAATTAATTAAAGAGAATAATAAAACTATTTATTAAAACACTTGTCATATCAACAAAAATGTTGATGATTAAAATTGTTTGTTTTGTTCCTAAGTGATTTTTTTAATTTATTTTATAGCGTCTAGGTGATCATCTTATTCTTGTTCTTGGATAAATGAAACATTTAGATCATAATTGGTTACGTTTTACATTAGATTTTTGTTTTAGTTAAACATTCATTTTTAATATCAGAATGGGTTATTTTTGTGAATGTTTTAGAAAAATTTAATAGTTGAGATTATTAGTTAATTGAAGCTAGACGATCATGAAAAACTTCGAAGTACTGGACGGTTGTTTCATGCTTTTGTGGGACTCCTTGGTAGTGTGATAGTAACTCAATGAAGATAATGATGGATGTGTAGCTCAATTTCGTGGATTGGTTGAAGTTAGAGATTAATACCGTTAGATGATGGCTTAGGGGTTTAGTGGTTAAGCGCTCGTGCGCGAGACTGATAGGTTTTGGATTCGAATTTTGCAATGAGGGATTGATATTCATTTTTATTTGTATAAGCTTTTGGCGAGTGTGTATGCTTTGCTTGCTTAATAGTATTTCGTACAATTTATAGAAACAGCGATGAGACTATAATATATAGACAACCTATGAGTGACTTTAAAGTGACCTTGAGGATGTCCACCAACTTACTAGAGCTAAATGAGGGTTATAAACCTGTCTGAAGAATGAGAATTATTATTTACAGTTGATGATTAGGGTTATTGTTTTCATCATGAACGGACATCAGTTAAGATGCAAAACATTATTTAGACAAATGAATGAATGAGTTTCGCACCAAAATTCAACACCTATTATCTTAACTCTGATTGGTTTGTCCATAAATTATTGTCTCACCAAAACAGCATATAAAAACTATGCCATGTTAAATATTCTTTGAATTAGTGTGTTACCAACTCCAACACTACATCTTTAGTTGTTTATCTGCTGCGATCGAGTGAATCTACACAAATGGGATAAATAAAGCTTCCATATTTGATTTATCATTGTTTATTTATTCATTAAAATCAATATACGATTATGAAAAGTTCGAGTAGCATTCAGAATGTATTAAGTTGAATAACAAAATGTATATACAAAACCTAAGCAAGTATGTATGGTGGCTAGCGGCGGAAACTAAGACGAGCGTTTCGTCCTATCTAGGAATCATCAGCTGGATGTACCTGTGATTCAAGATGAATGGATAAATTGGCCTTTCCAGAAGCCAAAATAAGTTATATTGGATTAACATAGTAACTGACACTACAAACTTTTCGAAATTATGTAAAATGTAAACTACACAGTTGATTTATTTAAGGGTTATGATAATTAAATATTAGATGAATCAAAATGTTCTTTGAGAGCATAAATTTTATAAATAATCAGAATATTTTGTTATTGATGTAAGTATTCTAGAATATTTGGTACATCATAGTTTGTTACTGGTTTACGCTCATGATTCTCTATGCGATTGAATCTACGATGTTTAGTATCCACAAAAAGCACAATACCATAGAATTTGTTAGAATCACTAACTGATTTAAGTTAGAAAAATTATTGAAAACATGGGATCAGTAGACGTTTGATTCGTTCACATTAAACAACCAAGACCCCGAAAACAGAAAATTGAACCTAGGAACTTTGATCTTGCGTAAACACTCTTAATCCCTAGATCACTAAACTAAGGTTCAGTGGTATAAATACCTGACACCAATCCACTCATAATATTACATAAACTCTTCTCATAGCTTACTGCAAATTTCAATAGATGTATTACAAAAGTCAGTTCATGATATATATATGAGAACTTTCGTCTAAATTTGAACGAATGGTTTCACAATATTTGAGCGCCAAGTTAATGTGAGACATTAAAGAGGAAGAATGTTTTTGTAAAATATCAGTGAATGAATTTGAAGTAAATCAAACATTTCATCTGGCAATCTGGTCTAAGCTTTTTCAAGGAAATATAATCAACCGTCACAAGTATCGAATATAAATAGGTACATGGTTCTTCGGTTTACTGTATACTGAATAGGTCATCCGATCAACGTGAACACTGTTTAAGTTAAGTAGTTGCATTAATGTGTAAGAGACATGTGGTATGAAATGAGAAGTGTTAAGATAACAGATTGTGTGTATACATAAGTGGTGTGAGAAGAAATTCCATTCATTATATATTGTCTCTGGTCGGTGAATATTAAGAAAACATATAATGTTTATAAATGATAAAAATCAAAAATATCACAGCTCGCATAAAATGAAGATGAATAAATAAGATGAAGGAATGAATTCAAAGAGGAAGAATGTATTTGCAAATGAATGTTTGTTATTTTAATGTTCCGGTTAGTTGTTTAACATATTCAGATAAGATGATTGATTTGATGACTGATGACTGATTTCCGTTATTCAGATAATACGAAACAGATAAGGAGCTCAGGTTTACTTATTAACCATTAATTGCCACGGGACAACTAATTGTATTCCATCTCTCCTATTAATATTCTTTAGATTTACCCATATGTGTAGGGCTTCGGCTATAAGTCTTTCTTTGTGAGAATTAAAGCCTTTTTGAAAGATTCTTGTGCCATTGAAATAAATTATATGACCCTATTCTATTTAATGTAATGCTATAGCTGATTTATTCTCGAGTTTTCTTACATCATCTGAGGATTTACGAATGTGCTTTCAGCACATCCTTCACGCTCACATTCAGTTGTCTTGATATCTCACCTACATACGTTGCATTACAATCACTAAACCTGAGTTCATAAACACAATTTTGTTGTTCCTCCTTATGGCACAGCATACATGTCAGCACTAAAACCTGTGGTTGATTATGTGATGGTGTAGAACTATATATATATATATATATCCCGACCGTTGTTGATACCTTGACGTGGTGGTCAGGCTTGCCTATCGTACTGAACCAATTGAGCTATACTGGCTGCAAAAATTGTTCCTCAAGGTCCTACCATATCAGACAGGTCGGTTGAAGAACGGTAAGACTGAAGGCAACAAACTCAAGGTCCGATGGTGAATTCGTACATCTGACTGTACAGAGGTGTGACAGCAGTAAGGTGTTTCCTTCAGACAACCAGCATAACAGCGATATTGCCTTCCCACAGGGAGGGGTGGGCTTAGAAAAGGACGACCCTAAAAGTACACATCTCGTCTTATCCCACGGATTTCCGTCTCAATCGGTAAGGTCAAAACAAGTATGGAGCTAACACGAAAATTACCCTCTAAAGGTCAAGGGTGATCAGCCTCAAGCAGTTGTCCTTTTGGCACTGCAGTCAAGCTCTCAAGTCACTAAGACCACCTCTAATCCAATTTCCTTTTCAGGTACTTCTAGAAGTACCCTTCCACGGTGTGGGCAACTGGGAACTGATAACCGCCCTCATACCTCTAACAACATCCAAGACTAGTGACAGATATATATTTGCGAAATCAATCTACTTTTATGTTTCATCATCATCTATTCTATTCACATTTATGTTTTTATTTGCTTTCTTCTTTTTTTTTCTCATTTAGATGGAATACTTACTATGACACAAGATGTAAAGAATACCGAATATGTTTTTTTAATCTTTACATGTTCATATCGTTTTGGTCGTGATGATTTAGATGTATTAGGATTAACATTTCAAAAAGAATTATTAATTTATACAAAATGTTTATGGCCAAATCATCCATTTGATGATAATAATAATACTAAAGGTAATAATAAATGGAATAATACATGGAAAAAAATAAAACGTTTATCAAAACGTAAAATTGATTCAAATGAACAAATTTCATGTACAATATTAAATGATAATGATCCATATGGAATATTTTGTGAAACATTAAAAGAGAATAATTTATCACCATTTCAAGTAAAACTGATAAATAAACATGGTGATTTGGCATTTCCATTTCGTATAATTGTAAGTTATGGTGATTTAGAATTGATAATTTTGTAAAACGGATGGAGGAGGGGGGAGTTGTGTATGAATATTATAGTAATTTAATAGTATAATTCATGAATGGAAAACCTAGATGTAATGGATGGTCATTTCATCGTAGTATGAACATCTTCAGCAGTATGCTTCTATGATCCTGCATGCAAGAAAAAATTTTAGTTAGAGAGGGATTTTGTGGATATTACAGTAATTTCATAGTTACATTCATGAATGAATTAAAGCTATATCATCATGGAAAATCTGGGACTTCTTATTAGTGCATATCAACGATTTCACGGCCGTCCAGTGTTTCTAGGTATTTACCATGATGGTCAAGCTTTAATTGACTCATGAACTCAACTATTAAATTTTGTATATAAATAAATAAATGGGGAAAGATAATTGTCAATATTTGATTGTATATTAAAGACAAACCTGGAATCACTGGACGGTCGTTTCCATGCTTGCTGCTAAGAAGTCCCATACTAGAACAAAACGGTCATCCAGTGCTTTCAGGTTTCCCATGATAGTATAACTTTAATCGACTCATGAATTCAACCATTAAATTACTTTTATTTTTTCTTTCAAATTTTACATGTAGAATTAATATCAGAAAGGGTTTTCTGCCGATATACTAGTGATTTCAATAGTTGAGATCATAAGTTCGATTAAAGCTAGACCACCATGGAAAACCTGGATGTAATGAACGACTTTTTCATCCTAGTATGAGACTCCTCAGTAGTGCGCTTTTATGATCCTACAGCCGGCTACTGCTTCTAGGTTTTCCATGATAATCTAACTTCAATTGACTCATGAACTCAGCTATTAGATTTTGTATATAAATAAATAGACAGAAAAAGAGAATTGTCGATATTTGATTGTGTATTAAGGACAAACTTATTGTATTGTTATTGTATAAAGGATTTGAGTAAATGAAAACATTTGCTTTAAAGTATGATAATAATGTCGTGAAACAATAAAATACTAATTGCCATTCGTTATTCATGTAAAAGGAAAATGATTGACAATCTATTTACAGCCACCATATTTCTATAGACAAATATTAATTATGCATAAGGTCATGTTTTTTACATTATATATGCAGTAATGGACTCAACGAGTAATTATCTATTAACTGAATCAATCTTAGATACTGGATATCACTTCAGTTGTATATCAATAATTCCTAAGATATTAGATATTAAATTTAGTCCTAGATGAGACAAATCATCAATAAATTTCAAATGAAGTACATTTTCGACGAGTTCATTTTGATAGTTCTTGTTACTCAAGTAGTCTTAAATGATAGGATATATTACCCTAACTTATTAGTAGATATTTATCTTGTGACTTATGTATTCTTTTACTGATTTTATAAACAACCAAATTTCTACTCTAATGATGATGTTCGAGAGTTTCTCATTAAAATCATGAACCTATCGACGTTAGATTACCATTCAAAACTCGGAGGCACTGGACTATGATTTCCTTCTAATGTGTGATTCTTCAGTAGTGAGCATCCATGATCTCTCAACTGGGAATGGAATCTAAGAGCTTAAACCTCACTCATGAACCCTTTAAATTCTATACCATTGAGTCAGTATCCAATAGTCGTAGATGTACACTTTTGAGAAATCCTATACTAGGACGAAACGAGCATCCAATGCTTCCAGGTTTTCAATAGTAGTCTAACATTGATCGGTTCATGATTTTAATACAATCCAACAATCTTCACTACCTTATACTGATCAAAGCTTCTCAACCAAAACCCAACATAATAAATATTAGATTATTTAAAATTTAATGGTTTATTATGTAAAATTTCTGACAGTGAGAATAATATATGAATAGCAAAATAACGCAAATTATTGAGATAACCTGTAAGAGAAGAAGATTGGTTTTTGGTTAACCTCATTGAGATAATCATTCAGCATCAAAAAATGACTAAAATAAAGATGAAAAAAAAGATAAATAGAGATTAGTGTATTAGAATGAAGTAATAATAATGGGAGAGGCAGTCCAGTTAGCAATGGAACAACCAGAAAGAATTCTTTTAGTTAACGAAGTTGCTTACACTTTTAGAAAGAAAGTAAAAGAAAATTACAGTAGGATTTCTACTGGCTTCTACTCTAAGATATGTCTAATAACGTTTCTAGCCACTGTGTTGCATCATCTCCAGGACCCTACCCTTAGAGTTGTGAAAGACTAACATACGTCAGTCCCGTATAGAATTCTTTCATACCACGACACTGTGTCACACAGTGACCACCTTCCCACGTTTTCCAACCACTCAAGTAAACAATAACAAGTCAATTTAAACTTTACCCTAATTACACAAGCAAATAGCTATCAGGACTCAATAGCTAAGTGGATAACGCGTTGGCGTTTGAAGTGAACGGTACTAGGTTCGAGTCGTGGAGTAAACATCAACTCTGACATGTAGGTACATCTAACTGACTTGTCTCAAATTGAACGAAACACGCATCATGTATTCCACTACTAACCATTAGCCATCTTTACTCATAATTTATTTTCATGGTGGTCTAGCTTCAAGTGACTCATGACCTCAACAATTGAAATTAATCCATTTAGTTTAATGATATCTCATTTACAGGTTTTATTAAATTAAAGTTTAAAATTATTCGGATCTTTATCCAGTCAGTGAGATACATGCTGTGTTTATTCACTGATAAACAATTATGACTGTGTAAAGTCCTCTGAAAAGTTGGTTGTTTTTATACTTTGGTGAAGATTAAACTACGGGTAACTTCTGAGAACTATTAATGAACTAATATTATATATATTTATATATTCCTATTGTATAAGTGTTCAGTAACTAGATTATGCATATCTATATTCCTCTTATTATAAGCTTCATTTTGACCTTAGGAATATGATTATACGATTTACTGTTCTGAAGTTACGTTCAATTGGCGAGACTATAATTTATGAAAGAATCAATCAGATATAAGAAAACAGGTCTCGGATTTTGGCACGAAATTCTCTCATCCATATGAGTAAATAGAGTTTCGACATTACAGTTGATGTCAGATCTTGATGAAATCCCTACATCTAATTCCTAACCTTAACCATCAACTGTGAATCATAATTCCAATTCCTCACAGTGATACGTCTTGTCGATGAAACGCTATATACGATTCCTAAGCTGTCTGGTAACCCGCAGACTAGAACTACACAGCGACTTGAACACCAGAGAGAAGACACAAGGATGAGAGAAAATATTTTATCCCAAGGTTCACTTTTGTACAGAAAATCAAGGGTATTTATAGATGTTGGCGTCTGTTAAATCAACATCATATTTCAGCCAATCCGTTAACGCCATATTATGCTACCGACCAATAGTAGCACGCCACGTTGGAATTTCAGAACGTTCCATCATACTCTGATTGACTAGGTCCCTTCGGCTCCTTTTGGGCTTCTGGAGGCTCCGTTAAAGTTCTCCGGAAGCCGACTCAACACACAGTGGTTTCTAACCCTCATTTTGTCCTACTTATTAAGTGTACACTCTCAACGTCACTTTAGTATCGCTCGAAGGCCGTCCATAAATTATAGTCTTGCACTTCAGTTTATTGACTAAAATCTCCCACATTCACAACCACTTTTTGGCTTGATGTTGTGTAAATGTTATTTCCTATTTTATAATGTAATGCAGTCTGTTTGACTGGTATATAAACCAAATATGATTCACATAGTAGAACCTGAACTCAAGTGGAACGGTTAAGAGGAAAAAGGATTAATAAGGATGTAAAGTTGTTCATACCGATCGAACATCATTGATTTGGCACAGTACTAAGATTGACAAATAAATCATCATAATTAACCGGTATTAAAAATGAACAAGACAATCATTATATCATTTAAATACTTTGTACATTTAGTAATGATAAACAAAATCAAATTACAAAATTATAGATTATGAATTGCCGATCAGAACACGTAGATATAATTATTTTTTCATAATAGAATATTACACATATTCAGAACATTGATTAAGATTTTAAATAAAATAGATTGTAAATGAATAAATTATCTCATCAATTGATATTTCATGCAAATTAGATGGTGGTTGGAGGTAGTCAACAGGAAACCCTGGACCCGGGTTTCTGCTACTTGGCACTCGTCAGCAAGGTGTACCTGTAATCTTGAGGGAACTGGTACTCCCTGATAGGTTCGATCTCATGCCACCCAGCTTCACAGTCAGAGACGTTACGACTAGGCTATCGCGACCGTGACCGACCTCTTATAGGAATGAGATGTAATGACAATTGACTGATCACTGGGTGGTGATCAATGTCATGTGTGTCAAGTCATTCTTAGTGCAGATCGAATTCTATCGATCATGTTGCAATGTGGCCACCAGTCTAGGTGACTCGACACTGCAGGCACTATGTATTGAGATTAGATGGTGGTTGGAGGTAGTCAACAGGAAAGCTGGGTGATACGAGATCGAATCCGCCAGGGAGCATCAGTTCCCTCAAGATTACAGGTACACATTGCTGACAAGTGCCACGTAGCACGAAACCCGGGTCCAGGGTTTCCTGTTGACTACCTCCAAACACCATCTAATCTCAATACATAGTGCCCGCAGTGTCGAGTCACCTAGACTGGTGGCCACATTGCAACATGATCGATAGCATTCGATCTGCACTATTAAGGACTAGACAAGCATGACATTGATCACCACCCAGTGATCAATCAATTGTGATTTCATGCAAATTCATAAAAGATTTTTAGTCATGTTTTATACACTCGTGCTTGTTCTCGTTTGTAATCTTTGAAAGTCCCATTACCGTAACTGTTTATATATAGGGAGAGAGAGAGGGAGTGAGGGAGAGGGGAGAGGGAGGAAGGAAAGGAGAAGTAGGGAGAGAGAGGAGGATAGGGAAATTCTAATATGTTTCATTTAAAAGTAGATAAAGCTTTATATGTCACCTCTTCAAATGAATGTAGAGTTACCTCGAGTCTTAAGTGTTTCATTTATTGCCAGTGTTATATATACATTAACATTTATTCAATAAATCATTCATAACATTAATAATTGAAAGCAATCAGTTATGACCTCTATTAATTGTTTTATTTATTAAAATAATAAATTATTATTATTTAATTTATTCACAAATTATTTTTACTTTTAAGTGCCATAGAGAAAACTTTAAAAAATAAAAAAAAGAAGTTTTCCTTCTTTTTTTCACTTAACATCAGTTTTCAATCACATAAAACGATAAATATTAGACCACCGTTGGAAACCTGGAAGCACTGGATGGCCGTCTCGTCCTATTGCAGGACTCCACAACAGTGAGCATCTACCATCCCACTCGCGGGATTCAAACCTAAGGGCTTCAGTCGTGTGCGTGAACATTCAACCTACTGGACCACTGAGCTGGTATCCAATGGTTTTAGTGTCTAACCTCAACCAATCCACGAAATTGAACGAAATATCCACCATTTTCATCAGTGAGTTAATATCTCACAACAGATCCGGTTGAACTCCATTGGTTACTGCTTCACACTAGAACTTCAGGATATACATCTTGAAGCCAGTCACTAGTGAGCATATGTTGATTAGTATCAGAAGGGGGTTTTGTGGAGGTTTCAGTAAATTCAATAGTTGAAATTATGAGTCATTTGAGGATAGATCCCCATAGAAAGCCTGGAAGTTAGCCAGTAACATGGTTGGATGCCGGCTCAGTGGTTTAAAGGTTAAGCGCTCGCGCAAGAGACTGATAAATCTTGGGTCGGAATCTCGTCATGCAGGATCATGGATGCGCACTGCTGAGGAGTCCCACAATACGACGAAACGGTCATCCTGTTCTTCCACGTTTCCCATGGTGATCTAGCTCCAATGGACTCACGATCTGAACTATTTAGATTAATTGTGATATTAAATTGGTTGTTATAGTCTTTAGTTTTAAATAGTGTATTATTTTTTTAAAAAAACATACAACTGATGAACTGTTATTCGTTGTAATTTCTGAATCTATTAAAGAATTTACATGATTATGTTGATTTAATGAAGGTTAAATGGATGTAAATGAGGCTTTCATTCTAATGTAATACTGATTCGAGTTTGTACAATCAGTATATTTTTGACTTATTTCATGGAATAACTTTAGTTAAACAATTATTGAAAACTAAGAATTAGTGCTATAGCTCTCATATCGTAATATGGAACTTTATAGCACTGAATGTAAACAATTGTGATAAGAACTAAATCCAGGATCTACCTGTTTTATGAGCTGTGCATATAGTTTAGTTCTGTTTCGTGAACTAAATCGGTTTGTGATACTCTACGTTCATTATCTATTTCGTTCGTCATACCTATTTCATGGCTGACATATTTGATCTCTAGCGGTTTCTTGTTCAGCCATATTGGGATTGCTCAAAATAGCTAATAACCGATGCTGGTATATTAGTTGAATACATTCATACATTACTCTAAATGTTATATTTTTTTTATTATTCACTCCAATTTGATAAATCTTTTGACTGAACGCTTGAATCGGTTTCCTAAGCTCTTCTAATAACCATAGGCTAACTCTACACGGCAACTTGAGCACAAGAGAATAAGGTATTTATAGCATTTTATATGGCCTTGGGCTTCTGGAAAGTTCTGGAACCCCACGAAACATATTAGCAGGATATGTAATCATACAATCAGAAATGTGACAAGTGACTTTTCACTTTCTAGACGTTTTTGAGATACTTCTATTCAATACAGATTGAATAAAATGTTTCCTAGTGCTTTAAGGGCCCCTTTGAGCTTTTTCACAGAAATTTCAAAGGTCTTCCCATCATAATTTCATTCAGCTTCACTGTTTTTCTCATCATGCTGATGTAGGATACAACAGCGTGTACTGAGACACATTCTTACTGGATCTTACAAAATCTTATAGGTATTAAACTCCCATTACTATATAATCTCGATGATAGGCTTTCATGTCAGTTTCAACTTCCCCAACTTCACGGTTCTTTACCTCTCAACTCTTTTCCATGTTTTTTTTTCTATATTCATTTATGAAGAAGGATCTTAAAGAGTAAGACTGAATGACATATTCTTTTTAAAAAATACATTTCAATGGAAAGCAACATAATTTACTATATTTATTACATTGTTTACAGTTGCTGCTTTTGCCAATATAAATAGTATGTCATACAAGCCAGATACCATTAGTTGGCATTCCTCCGTTTATTGTTAATAAATTATAACAACTTCTAGTACCGTGAATGATTACTTAAAATAAATTATTACCATTATTTGAAACTGATTTCATGAAATTGATATGATTTTTAAACAATGATAGCTTAGCAGAGATGGATAATGACTAGAAGTGGAATCCAAGACGCGCGTTTCGTCCAACTTGAGACTCGTCAGCTGGGTGTACTCACATCCCAGAGTTGATGTTCACTCCGGGACAATAGCTTAAATCATTTGTTGATAAGGTTTCAAAAAGAATGATTCAACGTTTTGATATCTGATTAAGTTTGATCTTTCAAATAGTTGTCAATACATCTTAAATAGGATTATCAACAATTATGAAATTTTTAACTGATAATTTATTTCTAGTCTTATAACAACACACATCTAGATAAAAGATAACAGATTAGTTACGAAATTTTAAAGGGATTCCTTTTACCTTAGGCTTTTACCATATACATATATCATCAATACCTCGTGAAATACACTTTTGAGTAGTCATATTTTACCAATGCCATTAATAGACCATTTTAAATAAAAGGTATTTTGTAGTTCTAGTATAATCAAGGGTACAATAGAATAATGAAAATCATTTTTATTATTCTTTACGTGTCTTTTTCTCTATTAACTGATTCATTTGGTACTTGAACATGACTTACACGCTAAGAATGAGCGCTAATGATACGATCCAATTACCTAAAATGAATAAGATGATGAGTGGTTCCAACATAGGACTCAGTGGTTGATGGTCATACGCAAGAGCCCCTAGACCACCCTTCCTTTTTGTAAGAACTAATATTATTTTAATGAATTTTAGCTTATCAACTGATGATATACACTGATACAGAATAATATGTCATTAAAATTCCGTTCTTATGGTAAATATCTATCGAGACTAGCGCCATTTAGATGATATTACATCTATTGAGTTAGACTACTTAATTATGAAGTTTACATTGTCTTTCTGCACAACATCAGTAGCATAAACTAAATATAGAAGTAAGCTATCCAATCAACAAAAAAAAGGACAGCACTCTACCAAAATCATCCATCTCAGCTAAAAATTCAATCGATTTGAGTTACATTATCAATCTATGTGGACTAACGATAGATTTATTTTGGGTTACTGCCTAAATATTACATCCTTTTTGAAAGTCAAGATACTATTTTGAGTTAGGCTTCATTTATTTAATAAGTAACTATGGCAAAAATTGTATTCACAATTCCTTGTATGTCATCAGTACGTTTTTCATAAACCAATGTTCATTTATAGTTGATAAAATTTTCTTCATTTTCATTTATATTTCAATGATTTCAGATACCTACATCATCACCGTCATCAGTTGCGATTCAACCAAATGAAGATGATTCTCGAAAAGTAACAATTTTAATATTTTTATCATCTTATTTCATACCGTACTTTGTGTATATGATATAGGGTTAGATAAATCAGATTCAAGATGCTGATTTGAAACGTTAGTGGATATCATTTACAAGATTTAGCTATTAGAATCCTGATAACAGTTTCTCTGGTCTGTGTATACTATAGTCTAGCGTCCTAGGTTTTGGCCAATGGTACATTAACACCGACACGATTAATCTTGAGTGAAGTCTAACATACGCTTTATCCCTTCTGTCCCTTTGATTTTCTGCCTTGAGTCCAAAAAAAAAATAAAGAAACCAAGCTTCTAGCATTATTATCTGAAGCACAGACGGCAAAGCAATCTAGATCACATAATGATATACACAACCATACCAAAAGTGGAAGTGAAAACGGATAAGATATAGACAATGGACTCCTTGCAAATTATAAGACATGTAACATTTGTTAGGAGTTCAACTGTAAGCTTACAGTATACAGAACATAGTGATCCAGTTATTTATTACATATTTAATAGCATTTCATAAAATAGTTTCGAGGGTTACCATTTCTTCAACCTGGATTGTGCTACATCATGCAGCACAAATGAAATGAAAATACTTATCCCTTATTGGATATTTTCAAAATGGTTTAATAATTATGTATTTACGCAAAAAAATTTTTCTGGTAAACTAACTTGTGAAACTGACAACAATAGATGGTGCCGAAATGAAGGAATAAACGTCAACACATGGTAAGATTACAATTTATGGATAGCCTTAGAACGATGTTAAATCGATATTGAGAATATTCACCTACACGCTAGGGATCAATAGAGGGTTATAGATTAATGTAAGGAATTAGGATTCGGATTTAGGGTTTGAAACTAGAATTAGGGTTTTTATCACGAACAGACGTCAACTCTACTGCCAAAATGCCATTCAGCCATACAGATGAATAAACGTCTAGGCCAGAACTCAAGACTTGCTGTCTTTAATTCTAGTAGTTCATCCGTAAGTTACAGTCTGGGTTTACCCATTCTAAGTTATTTTTTGTGACAAATAATCCCACTAGTTATTAATTCAATAAAATAGACATCTACAACCATTGCGTCCAATCTGGCTGATGTAAGAGAGTCAATGGCGGTTTAATGGTTCCAATATTTCAAAAAATGTTTGCTCACAAACCACAATTTAAAAAACCATTAGCTGACAGGACTGAAGAAAGAGACCTCCAAATATACGATGATGGTAATATGAAGCGGGAAATACTAACAATGTTAACTATTATCACTTCCATAAAGATTGCATAACAAAACTACTTGATGCAATATGGATAAATTCTTCCATCTATTTTGATCTAAGATATGAGAGAAATGCTTAATTGTTCCACAGCTGGTTATAATTCATGATGAGTTCCAATTTCATACGTTAATAAGTTTTCTTACGAGTAATTTTCAAACATAGTGAAGTGAAACGTTTGTTTTAGTTTTAATGACTTCAAATGAAAACCGTAATAAAACTGCAGGATATATTTGAGCGTCAGAGGGCTCAGATTATTTGGTTTCTTTGGTACTACTCATGAGAATACTGTTCTAATCCATATTTCAGATATAACTTTAGCTGTCATCTGATTTGGCTGTTGCCATTTCTAGTTTGATAGTTTCTTTGTGTCGCAAAGTCATTGGATGTTATTATATTGACAGAGTTGTTTCATTTCAGTTTTCGACTTGTGTTCAGAATAAAACGTTACCTTGGAAATCCCATCTTCCCTATAACATATTGAATTCTTGATTATTAACGTTGAAGTGTTGTGGTTTCATTCTCTATTTAATTAAGTCTGTCAAAGAATATATATGTATTAGAATAAACTTAGCTATTCCGTAATTAACGAATACCATAGGCCTATTATAGAGCCTCAATTTCAAGATATAATAATTCGTCATTTTCATATCTACTATCATGTCAATCACAATAGGTTGTAAATGATAAGTCTTTTAGTTGAACGCTAAATTTGGTTTCCAAGCTCTTCTAGTAACCCCCAGGCTAGATCTGCATAGCAACTTGAACACGAGAGAAAAGGCGCGAAGTATGGTAAAAACGCTTTACTCTAAAGGTTCGTTTATGTAGCTTTTTAGATGATTTGAGGTTTCCAGAAAATTCTGGAACGCTACTAAACATAGTACCAGTATAGGTAATCGTCCAATCAGAAACTCAACATAAGACTCTTCATTTTTTAGATATTTCTGGCAAAACGTCTGGTGAATGCTGATTGAATAAGATGCTTCTCAGCGTTTTTGGAGCCTTTGTTGACTTTTTCAAGGAGTTTTCTAGATCATTCCAACAGTAAACACGTAATATTAGTGATTGGTAATAACTATCAGTCCCTAAGAAAACTTCAATCTTTGCGCAGTAATTTCAATTAGTTCCTTAAAATATAATCAGTATTACGTAAATTAATTTATAATTCTATGAAGAAAAAAACATCTTATACGCGAACAATAACTGTAATCTCCCATTACCTTATGACCAGTTTCCATTTTTCTCTCCCTAACTTCAAAACTTCCTATGTTACCCTCTTGAGAGAACTTCAACCAATATATATATATATCAGACTTTACGTTAACTATGGCTGAGTAATCCCAAGAGTCTGATGTTAGAATAATTGACAAAGAATGATCAGTACTACTTATTACCTTTGTTAAATATCTAACATTCTAATGACGTATTGTATTTACTGAATTTGGATACAATTAAATGCTTAAAACGTTAATCATATATACGTAAATATATAAAATATATCAGGTTTTTTGTGGATATTATGGTAATTTCAATGTTTGAGATCACGAGTCAATTAAGCCTAGATCACCATAAAAAACTTGGAAGCACTGGACGCCCATTTCCTTCTATTGTGGGACTGCTCAACAGTACGCATCCACGATCCTGCCTCACAAGATTCAAACTTAGGACCTATCAGTCTCGCATGCAAGCACTTAACCTCTAGACCACTGAGTCGGCATTCAACAATGTTAATGGATAACTTCAACCAAACGGCGCTCGAGACCGAAAGTTCTGAGTTCCAGTCCCACGTGTGTGATCGTGAATACGCATTGCTAAAGAGTCCAATACTAGGACGAAAAGGCCATCCATTACTTCCAGGTTTTCAATGGTGTTCTAACATTGATCCATTCATTATATCAATCTAAACTTAATAATCTCCACAACCCTATACATTTTAAATGAAAACTACATCGTACTAGTTAATATTCACTGAAAGTTACACTGAATAATGCTTTAATATGCAATCATTATCATTGTTTGCATCAATCGAAATACAGACTTTTATACGCATATAGTCTATGAAAATTTTGACTTTAATAAATCATAATGAGGTCAGAATCACTACAGTTGTCAAACAGAATTTCATTAAGAAATGAATATATCAAGAAAAGGTATAAAGAAAACAATTCAGCCGACCAATATTTGTTTTTATTGCACATTACTTTATTAACTAATCAGCTAGTACTATCAATATCATTCAACAATCACTACAAACATCACATACTGAATATTGTCATATACTCACTAGTCATTAATTAAGAGAAGGTAATTCCAATAATCTACTAAGAAAACAGTGATCAATCGGGTACAACTGTGTCAGATGTGAGACAGTTATCCATTGAACACAATTGAAGATGATCATGCAATATCAAAAATTAACTTAAGTTAGAAATGTACATCATTAGATGGGAACTGTCATGATAAAATCAAACGTCCTATTTTCTATCTGAAGTGGATTTGTAGATGGACATTGTTGAGTAGTTCGATGGTAGAACAAAACAAATATCCGTTACTTTCAAACTTCCAATGATTATCTACTTTAGGCTGTTGTTTTCTATACTGAGAATAAATTGTTTCAGTTTTAATGATATGAAATAAACCTTGATTTTTCAGCAATATTCTTTAATTTTTATTGTACAAAGAAAAATGTTTATTCATTAAAGAGAAAGAATGTATTTGCAAAATCTCAGCGAAAGTAAATCCAACGTTCTACCTGAAAATCTGGTCGAAGCTATTTCAAGTTATTTCCTTGAAAAAAACTTGGACCAGATTGCCAGGTGAAATGTTGGATTTACTTCATATTCTTTCGCTGAGATTTTACAAATACAACATTCTTCTTCTTTAATGTCTCACATCAACTCGGTGCGCAAATACTGTGGAAACTATTCGATCAGTTTTCCTCTGCATGTTATTCATCTATTCAATCTAATGGATAAAGTACATGGAAAGATGATATCTTCTATCATAAATGTTTCATTGTTTCAATCCCTTATTTACATTAATAAAGATCTATAAAGCATTTTGTTTTTAAAATAATCTATTATTGGCGAATATAATTCTTTTTCAGCTGAATAGATTTATCTTAACTGAACAAATTTCCTGTTAATTGGACAATAGAGAACAAAGACTTTTATTTATCAGTAATATAAAAATATATAACACTCAATTTTAAGTAAAATTGACCCAAGGTCTTCATTTCAATTGTCTTAAACATCAAAAGAAATAAATCAATAGGTGAAACTCTATCAGCTTTATCCTATGTAAATAAATGAAAATATCTTAAGCTAAATAACAATCAATGAACAAGTGTTAGATTGCCTACACCTATCAGTCAGTCAGTCGGTCAGCTACAACGTAGGACCAGGCACATATATGCATCGGTCCAAGTTGTCATACTTCATTAATACAACAAGATGGACACCAGATTCATAAAAGTAGTTACTTCAATGGTAGTAATGTATGAAAGTAAGATTGTGTAGTAGTAGTAGTACAGGAAGAAAGAATTAGTTGGTAGAAAGAAAGATATGAAGCGATTTGATTCTTATAGTTTAATGGAAGACAGAGGGCGTATACACCGACGCTATTGTGATCGGTTCTGAGCCATGCCACCAAGAGTCTCCAGCCATTAGTTACGATAGTCACGCTGACCTCAATCAAGTAATCTGTATCTACCAACATGGCTCAGACTAGAAGTTAGTGACTTCAAGCACTGATGTCAAGTTTTGGTTTGGCTGCCCCTACACCTATAATAACGAATAGTTCATCTTCATAGGCGTGTTGTAATATATGCGATAAGCTAAAAAATACCCTTTACTCATAGTCCTGCTGTAGCGCCCTCGTAAGAGTGGTGGAAAACAAACCAATTGATTATAAGTAATTTGTGATAATGTTGTTTCATAATTTGAAGTTAAATAGTAACGCCATTAGATGATGGTTCAATGGTTTAGAAGTTAAATGTTCACACACGAGAACATAACTTTTGTGTTCAGTTTCTAGTCATATAGTCGTAGATGTACTCTGCTGGAGGGCTTCATACTAAGACGAAACTATAATCCAGTTCTACCAGGTTTTCAATGGTGGTCCAAGAAAGAATAATTCGCGATTTCACAAACCCTTTATCTTAGTAGTAATAAAAGACATAAAATAAATCCTCTAATAATATAAAATTAATAATCTAGTGAATAATTATCCAGGTATGACTTTTCTATCATCTCTAAACAAGTGCCTGTATAAGAAATGATTCCGATGCCCTGATATTAATCAGTATAAGGTTACAGAAAGTGCTAAGTTTAGATTGATATCATGAATGGATCAATGTCGGACTACCATTGAAAACCCGGAAGCGCTGGACAACCGTTTCATCGTAGTATGGGACTCCTCATGTGCTCGGAAATGAATAACTTCAAGTTGTATTCCCTGGAGTTCTAGTGCGAAGCCACCACCAATGGGGTTCAGCCCGTGTCGGTTGTAAGAAAGTTATCTACTTCAGACAATAGATGAAGGGTCATGCAAAATCATGGATCACTTAAAGTCAGACAGTAACACTGTTAGTTACCGACTCAGAACTCTAGAGATTAAGCGCTCGTGCATGAGATCGAAAATACTTGGTTCCAATCCCACGAGCGGGATCGTGGATGCACACTGCTGAGAAGTCCCATACTAGAACGAAACGGCTGTCCATCGCTTCAAAGTTTTCAATGGTGGTCTAACATTGATCCATTCATGATATCAATCTAAGCTCTGATAACATCACATCATGACTAATCATTTACCTGGAAAATAAATAATTGAGCTTTATACTGACATACGTATAGATTTCAGTGATATGCCTGAAGACATTGAAATTTAGCTTAGTTAACCAAATCTCTACGTTCGTAAAAGTTTAGACACCTCTTCTTATTAATCTCTTCTTTAAAATGGTCTATACTTTTATTTATCATTACTGTATTAAAGATTATATTCACGATGGTCAATATATAAATGAAGTGTTATGTTCTTTTCTATTCATCACACTTGTCGTCTGTGTACTCTTATATAACTCTTTATCCTTGTTTGTACATAATTCTTGCTATTTTACATCACTTAAAAAGATCTTTCAGTGAGACTATAATTTATTGACGACCTTTGACCGACTCTAAACTGACCTTGAGAGTGTCCACGTAATAACTAGAATCAAATGAGGGTTATAAACTTGTGCGAGGAATTACAGTGATGTTTTACAGTTGATGATGGTTAAGGTTAGGGTTTTCATTACGAACTGACCTCAGCTATAATGACAAAACTTTATTTAACCACCTGAATTAGTGAATTTCGTGCCGAAATTCGAGATTTGCTATCTTATACCTGATTGGTTTGGCCATAACTTATAGTCTCGCCGATATTTCTAATTATTTCGTCATTTCACTGGTTGAAATCATGAGTCATTTGAAACTAGACCACTATGGAAAACCTGGAAGCATACTAGGACGAAACGGCCATCCAGTGCTTCCAGGTTTTCCATAGTGGTCTAGTTTCAATTGACTCATGATTTCAACCAGTGAAGTTCCTAAAAATCCCCACAAAACCCATTCTGATAATATTCCGTCATTTTTTGAATTTTTTGCCAACTTGCTTCATTTCATTTGAACGTTTTAATGACGCTATTCCTAATTCAGTTTTCTAATGGTCGTTCAGATCTTACCATTCATGGTTAGGACTACGACTGATCAGTGTCTTATTGGCATATGTGCATCCTATGCGAATTGCCTTGATATTACTTCAAGTCACCAGCATTATAGGCAGAGACAGATCGTGACTATCAGTGGAATCCATGGCTATCACTAATTGTTGACATAAATAAAAACAACCCAGAACTTGTATACTATTAAGTAACTTGCTATTAGTTGATTATTACTGATATGATGAATCGAACTAAGATATCCACTGAAGTACTGAAAGCATTGGGGATCTGTTTAGTCCATTGGAATTCCTTTCACTAAATTAATGACTAGTTAGTATACGATGTATGATGTCTGTAGAAATAATTGAATCTTATGGAAATCATGAATTATTATAGTAAAAGATTATGCATTTAAACTTTTATTATAATTCTTGATATAATACTATTCATATCAGAAGAGGTTTTGTGGATATTATAGTAACTTCAATAGTTGAGATCATGAGTCAATTGAAGCTAGATCACCATAAAAAACCTGGAAGCACTGGACAGCCTTTTCGTCCTACTGTGAGACTCCTCAGCATTCCTCATCTATAATCGCGCCTCGCGAGACTACCTGTTAAAAATTAAATCAAGGTGTGTGCAAGATTTACTGCTCTCTGCTTATTTGTGTTCTGTAAATATCTAATAGTCATCCTTATGAAAGAAAATATTCCTTTTTATGTATATTATTACAAGGCACAATAGAATATTTATAATCTTGTAGTACCTGGCCCCATGTCAAGCCCAAATAACTTATTCTAGCTTCCGGATAGACCAATTTATTCATTCGTCTTAAATCACTTTTAACCTTGTTAATAGTTCGTTTCGCTTCGTTTAGCCTTTGCCTTGCAATGCTTCACTTCGTTTCGAAATGACTATAAACATTGCGTAACGCTTAAGTAAAGTAAGTTGGCTAACATACATTCTTCAATCCTTTTCGTTTAGCATTCTTCTCTTTGCCATCTTTGTTTCGCTTCTTTGGTCATCTCTCCGGACCAATGGTTATACAAAATATACGTATTCGAAGTACATTCTCACAGTTAACTTATTTAATTCTGTTATTCGCTAACGCGATTTAAGTTTATTATTATATGTAAAGGTTGGCGACATGCATAAGTTGATAACGATAATCATACGATCAAACTGAAGTCAGATATTACAGGGCCACTATAATCTAAATATAGGAATTCTGTCTTAGTATTAAAACAAATTATGAAATCTTTTAAACACATGTCTTAGATTCAGTATTGTTAACCGATTTCATCTAATTATAATGGGTGTTTAATGCATTGAGATGATGATTTCAGTTTGTTTAAATTATTGACTAGATTAAAGAATATGGTTTATTAAATTACATCAAGTAATTAGTTTAACTTATGCGCTTTACCAACAGTAGGTTATTTGCAAATAAGGTTAAATATTCATTCAACATAAGTTCAGGTAATAAGAGAAATAATTTTCATGTATAACATCACATAATAATCTTAGTTACATTATCAAACAAATCCAGGAAATACCGGAAAGTTATTTCGTCTTAGTACAGGATTTCTCAGAGGTATACATCGAAGGCCCCATCTCTGACCAAACTCAAGCCCTTTAGTTTCGAGTACAAGCAATTGATCTCTAGACCACTTAACTAGAATATCACGGATTGATTGAGTTTAGATATTTTCACGATTGAATTCTGGCTCAAGTTGCACGCTAGAATGAAATAGTGATAAGATGCTTCCTAGCTATCAATAATGCTCCATGCTGTAAATCATAGAACATTTAGTAATTTCCACTAAACATCTTTGTGTGTATGAAAAAATTGACAGTCATATATTACCTATCAAATTTAACACAGAATATATTTAATAATCATTTATAACAATAGGGATTTTAATTTCCTCCAATTCAGATGACCACAAGCTGTGTTAAACCATATAACATCCATCTATGATGATGTAATGAAGTCAAGATCATAAACAACTGTTTGTTTTTACTTTGTATTCATCTTTAATATGAACTGAAATGATTAATACCTTCTCATTATACATACATCTGTACCAAATGAAAGATTTATCTAATTATAAATACAATACAATTGAATAATTCTATCTTGTAAACTCTCTTCGTTGATATGGAGAATAAAATAATCTTTAATAGTTGAATTTATGAGTCGGTTTAAATTTAACTACTATTGAAAATCTGGAAGTAATGGATGGATGTTTCGCCCTAGTATGGGACTCCTCAACAGCATGCATCCGCTATCCCGCATGTTGGCCTCAAACCCAGGACCTTCGGTTTCGCGCTTAAACGCTCAACCTATAGACCACTGAACTATCTAAATTTGACTCATCAATTCAATAATTAAAAAGAATACTACAATTTTCACAAAACCCCATTCTGAAAAAAGCATCCACAGAGTTCCTACCATTATTACAATAACAATGTTCCTATGTGTTTGTTTTTGATCAGTTACTTGAATTCTTTGACGAATAAAATTTTCTTCATTGCCATTATTTATATTGAAAATAACTGATCTGGGTTTTCCAGTTGCTTAACATTCTTTCTCCTTACATCTCCCCGCTTTCTCTTTGTTACTTCGATATATATATATATATTTTTGTAGTTATACGGTGTCAGTTACGCACTGACTGCATTCGCTGGTCAGAAAATTCATAGCAGTCAACCGATTAGGTATGTTACTTGTTTCTTTTTTCAATTTAAATATTTTGCCTCCAGAAACAATACTGTAATGGTTAGTTTGATCGATTTAGAGTTAATCTTCTTTACAGATTAGTAATAATGTAACTGATTCACCTAATGAAGGTTTATATACACACCAATGATCCAAACTATTTATTTTTCTGAAGTTCAAAAAATCTGGGTGCGACTATAGTTTATGGACGAACTTCCAGTAACTCTAAACTGTCCTTGAGAGTGTTCACTTAGTAACTAGGATAAAATGAGGGTTATAGATCAATGTGAGGAATTCAAATTGTGCTTTGTAGTTGATGGTTAAGGTTAACAATGAGATTTAGGGATTTCATCACGAACTGATATGAGCTATAATGCCAAACTCTATTTAACCAAATGAATGAATGAATTTCGCGCCAAAATCCGAGACCTGTTATCTTATACCTGATTGGTTCATCTATAAATTGTGGTCTCGCCAACTAGTTGCTGCTGAAGAATTGTTGAAAAAAAACAGGAAGAACCAAAATGTAACTCGGTATAAATATGTATATATTCAGGTTCTACACTATGAAACATGAAATAATTCGATCATTTTTAGTGTAAGAAAACATTCATAAACATTATCAGCACTCTGGAAGTTTACATTTTTGAGTTAAGCCAATTCGCGGCGTTGTATAAATATTGTCTGATTTTATTGATCCACTTTCCAATCAACCTGAATTTAACAATAATTAATTTATTGAACAAACGCTTATTACTATTATGGTGTGTGCTACTGATGTTGACAGATATCAGTAGTATATATCCTCAATCAAAAGTGAAACACCTAGGGGCAGAAGGTTGAGAAGATTGAAGAAAAGATAACAGAACAGGGAAGGATTGGTGTGGAAACGAACGAACAATAAAGTCTGAGACGATTTATTAACATTTTGTAAATGAATTATTTACTGTATGGTTTTCGCATTTTACTAAGAGAATCTACAATTCAGTATCCGAATACATTTGGTTATCCCCACTTGTATACTCGTTCACTACACTATAATTCCTCTTAGTTTGTCATTGAAAATTATTCGTTGGCATTTTTATGTTTCAGAAATTTTTTTGTAAAATAGTGATAAATCACACTATTGTAATAAATCATGCTAATTGACAACTATGAGACAGATTAGAAACGAAAATTGTTTAAAATCTTGAATGACTACCTAATTAATTCTCTTATATTACATACGTTATTTAATAGAGAACTACTTTACAAAAAGATTCCTTGTTGTTCAGGAATGAGTTAGTAAATGGAAGCATGAAAATCACTGTGAACGACAAAATAAATGATTCTTGATGAACAATCTTAAGGCTTTTGTGACGCGCTGGCTGTTAAACTGATCTTTTTGGTTCAAATCTTAATATAAACATAACCATTCAAATATTGTTACTTCAATGAGAGACACCGTAAATCTGAGACAATTGTAAGAGGGTTATTTTCAAATAGATAAACCCAGCACCGTTCATTTCAAACGCAGAATAGATAGCATACCGCAAACAGTGGAATCCATAATGTGCGTTTCGCCCCATTTAAGACTCATCAGCTAGATGTATCTGCATCTCAGAGTTGATGCTGCTAGCCACATTTCATTAGTTCTGTATAAACATTTGTCATTATTGGCCATATCGAAGCGATCCTAAAAGAATACAAATGCATCAACCAAAACTGATCAAATTTTAGTCAAAAATTACCAACAATGAGATAATCTAAATCATTTCAAATTGAATAAATTCTATAAGATTACGTATGATGCAAATTATTCAACTATCTAGTCATAATATTCCCATACTTTTTAATATGTTTACCCATTCTTGATTATACTCTAGTTCCACTGTAACAATTGTTCTAAGAAGATATATTGCTGGACCTAAACTGATCAATCGTCCCTTATATCCAGTAGCTGAATCAACTAGAAAAACAATCAATTTCTTATGTTATTCAGGAGAAGTTCTTCTTACAGCGTCTGTTGAAAAACCAGTAAATATTATCTTTTATATTTCGTTTCTTTAAAGTAATGTAATGTTTAAGAAAAGATGGATAGTGGCTAGCAGTGAAATCCATGACGAGCGTTTCGTCCTATTTGGGTCTTATCAGCTGGATGAACCTGCATCTCAGAGTTGATGTTCACTCCGGGACTCAAACCCAGTACCGTTCTCTTCAAATGTCATCGCTTTATTCATTTAGCTACGGAATGAACATCAACATCCAGCTGACGTGTCCTAAATATGGCGAAACGCGCGTTCAGCTGGATTTCACTGCTAGCCACTAACCATCTTTATTTAAAAAGCTTGTGACTTAAGACTATATCGAGGCAATTCGCACAGGATGCATATATGCCAATGAGAAACTGATCAATTGCAGTCCTAAATAACACTGGGAAGATACAAGTAAAACAACATCAAGTGAATTCAATCTAGTGTTTTTTTTTCCTAAAACATCCCTCAAATACCAAATAAACAATAACCTATTAATTGACGTAAGACTATAGTTCATTTTATAAGTAAATCTGAGAATCAATGTTATTATTTCATGTTGAACAAAATCAGGTGAATCATTCATCTTAGTCTTAGTAAATTTATTCCTTACTTATTTAATCTAGGTCATAATTTTCCTATTATGAAGGTATAAGAAACAATTCATCCATGGAATATTTAATATCAACTGGGAATAAATTAATATTATCAATTGTACTCAGACTAACACCATAGTGACTGTCAGAATATGTTTCTTGTCATGACTTGAACTATAGATTTCGAGATAAGCTATTGATTTCTTTTAGTTGAATGCTGACATCTTTCTCTAAACCAGTTCATTATCTTCTTTCAAAAAATCTCTTACTAAAGAGATTAAATCAAACTAAATAGTTATATTATATTATGAATAAAAACAATTGTTTGTTGATTGATGGTTCAGTCAGTCAGTCAGTCAGTCAGCTACAACGCAGGACATGATACATATATGCATCGGTCTAAGTTGCGACACCTCATTAGCACAACAATATGAACACCAAATTCATAGAAGTAATTACTTCAATGGTAGTAATATATAAAAGTAAGATTGTGTATAAGGACATAGTACAGGAAGAAAGAATTAGTTAGTAGAAAGAAAGATAGAAAGCAATTTTAATCTCTTAGTTTAAGGGAAGACAGAGGGTGTATACACCAACGCCATTGTGATCGATTCTGAGCCACGTCACCAAGAGTCTCCACCCATTAGTTACGATAGTCACGCGGACCTCAACCAAGTAATCTGTATCTCCCAACATGACTCAGACTAGGAGTTAGTGACTTCAAACACTGATGCCACGTTTTTGTTTGACCTCCCGTAACTTTTTTGCATCCGACTCCAACATTAGTCAGCATTGCGCGTCGTGGTAATTGATGTTGTTGCTACCTTGAAGTGGTGGTCAGGCTTGCCAATCGTGATGCACCAATTGATCTATACTGGCTGGAACAATTGTTCCTCAAGGTCCTACCATATCAGACAGGTCGGTTGAAGAGCGGTAAGACTAAAAGCAACAAACCCAAGGTTCGATGGCGAAGTGGTACTTCTGACTGTATGAAGGTGTGACGGTAATATGGTGTTTTCTTCAGACAACCAGCATGACAGCGATGTTGCTTTCCCACAAGGAGGTGTGGGGTTAGAAGAGGTCGACCCCAAAAATGCACCTCTATTCAAATTTCCTTTTCAGGTACTTCTAGAAGTACCCTTACATAGTGCGGGCAACCGGGAAGTGATAACCGCCCTCATATCTTTTACAGCACTCAAGACCACTTTATTCACATATGATGGTTAGAATTAAGTGATCCATTCTAAACTACACATGAGAATGATTTGTTATTATAATCCTTCTATTGCGTCATCTTGGTTATTCCTTGTTCACATTTCCTCATGGAACTAGTACAGCTTGATAACAAATCCGTTGAAAATAAATCTCAATAAACCATAACGAATAGATGATCTCATTTTTGAATAGATGTTTGAATGTCATTTATATTTCAAACAATGAAACAAGTTAATTTTTGAAATGATGTAGAAGATTTGTAGCTCAGGGGGAGGATTTTGATGGAGTTTTATTCTCTGAGCTGGATAGTTTGATTGTGAAGCTTTCATCGTTATTCTGAGCGACATTATCTACCTAAAGTTTGTACTGATGGTGTCGTTCAGAAGAACGATGGAAGCTCCACGATCAAACTGTCCAGCTCAGACAACAAAACTCCATCAAAAATAAGTTGATTATTTTGATTATTTTCAACATGTATAGTATACATAATACATAGTATGTATTATCTTTATTTTTACACCTACATTTTACAGTTATATTATCATGATGAATCAGTCAATGTATCAATTGTATTGGATAATTTTTCTAATTTATCAGTTAGAAAATTACAAATAGCAAGTATGTTCATCAATTTTATTTGTATATTGAATAAACTTGTGTAGTAATATTATCACTTTCTACCATCCACACCGACGCCAACAAGAAAAAGGATTAGTACATGTACTTCAAACGACAAATCTGTAGTCTTTAAACTCTACATGTTAAAAGAGCATGAAAAATGTCTTTAGAATTGAATTTAAAGAAAGTTTAAAGAATTTAGTTATAAACTAAATCTTAATGAAATAGTATCCAAGCAATAATGGTATATTCACTTGTGTATATCGAATTGAATATAACCTACCAAATGATTGAATTAGTATCTGTTTTTTTGTTTTTTTAAAAGTCACATATAGAATGTCAACGGTTATTTCACAAAAGTAAATTCACTCTAAACACATTCGTTTCTTTCTGATAAACATTTCATTATTAGCTTTAAATTTACATTATTACCATCATATACTAACTAAGTTTAAATAATCATTGATACTAGAGGACAGTTTGTTTTTTTTTTCTCGCTTAATTTACAAAATCATGGCAATATGTGCTTATAAAAGCAGACAATGGCGATAAATAGTATCTTCAGTTCTAATCGTAACCTACCGTATAAATCTAATTGGAATCTAAGAAGTGAATCATTGATTATATTGTTTTAATACAGGAGTGAGGAAAGTCAGCTCTCGCTCTCGAAATGCTCTCACATGTTCACGCGTTTACAGCCAGTGCCAGGGAAGTGCTACTCACTGCCACCTTGCATCGAGGGTTTTGTTTACGAAATTAAGGGGATAAAAAACGAATGTCCAGCTCTTTAACCGGGTTAGTGGATATCGGGCATCTACCTAGTTGGAGTTGGAAAACCCTGATTCCAAATTGATAAGCACATCTGTTCCAGGATCCTTGGGGAAGTATGAACCTACCGTTGGTCACTGGCTACCATTGAACTGAATCTCCTGACGTTGCTTCACTGCCTTGTGGATTAGACCTCTAGGTCAAAGGCCTCGGGTGTGACCCCATAGGAAAGCCGCCTGCTTCGATTTAAGTACCCGGACAGTAATTCAGCCGTCACAAAAATCGAATGATTATGTGGCACATATCTATTTAGTGCCTCCTTGCACCAATGTTTGTGTGTTAAAATAAGTAAATAAATCGTCTTAAGACAATTCTGTGTCATAATTGAGTTTTAAAATATTAAACCTCACAATTTTCATCTAAATTAGTCATTGATTTTATGTACACCACATGATCTAAAAAAAGGTTTAGAGCTGGAACTAGTTGTAGTTTGTCACTGACAATAAGAAAACAAATCTGTCTAAGTCTCTATATTCTTTCTTCAATGGTTTCTATGCTGATTACATCTTGGATAGAGTGCTTTTTATTGAACTGTAATATTGATCGTACAATTTACTTAGGCAATATACCAATATAGGCAAGGATTTATAATGACTCGTATGACTTATTTGTTTATTATTTATCTTCGTAAATTTATATTCGGTCTTAGTATCTAAATGAGAGTTTTCAATTAATAATTATACTAAATAAATTTTTCTTTGTTGAACAGTTGCTATACTCAATAGATATCAGTATGACGAATGTATGATAGATATTATACATACAGAAAGAAAGATAACATTTATATTCTGGTTTTAGTCCATTGCTTAACCTTCAATAGAAACTGTTAGAAAGAATCAAATTTTTTTATTGGACAGTTGTTCAGTAAACCTGAACATTCAATAATTCCCCAAATGATATCTTTACGTGATAAAGAATAAAGTTTATGTAAATTATAATTTAGATTGATATCATAAATGGATCAGTGTTAGATTATCATTGAAAACCTAAAAGCAATGGACTGTCGTTTCGTACTAGTATGAGACTAATCGGCAGTGCATATCTACGAATACACACGTGTGACTCGAACTCAGGATTCTCGGTTTCCCACGCGAACTTATAGCCTCTAGACCACTGAGCTGATATCAAACAGTGTTAATGTTTAATTTTAATCGATCGTTGATCTTGCACAACCCTTCATCCACTGACTAGGTTTAAGATAGGTTCCCTGGATCCCTAGTGGGAAGTCATAACCAATGAAGTCTAACTGGTGTCGAGTGTGAAACAGTTATCCGTCTCAAACAATGGATGAAGCGTTGATCAAGATCATGAATCGATTGAAGTTAAGCAATACTCCTGTTGGATACCGGCTCGGTGGTCTAGAGGCTAAGTGTCCACCTGCGGGACCGAAGGTCCTGGGTTGGAGTCCCACGTGTGTGATCGTGGATGCAAACTATCGAGTAGTCCCATACTAGTACGGAACGATGGCTCCTTGCTTACACGTCTTCAATGGTGGTTTAACATTTACCCATTCATGAAATTAATCTAATCTCAACAATTTCCACAATCCTATACTGATAAATTATAATTGTTATATCTAATCACTAATGAATCTCATATTAAATGTAGAAAAGAGATTTATTTCATAAGAGATTCAAAACATCACATGAAAGTTAATGAAATACAATGACTGTCTATCTAGAACCTCACAAACTGAATATTTGAAATAACTTAAATATGAATATCAGTGGAATCGTTTAGATTGTATAAAATGTGCTTGGTGGTAACGGGTTTCAAGAAAAATCTCTAAGTATCAGTGATTAATAGTGAACGACCGAGTTCATCATTGGTAAATTTAAGATAAGTACTACTGCTGGGGATGATTGCTTACCGATAAGAAATCAATAATTTATCTGAGAAGTGTTCCAACTCAATAGTATAAAAGCAACATATTCCATTGCACAAAAGTCTTAGATTTGAGCTGCTCCCATACAACGGAATCCTATACTTGGTTTTTTAGTTAGCATTCATCGACGGACGTAAGCTGCAAAAATAAATTGATGATATTTTGTCGTAGATTTACAATAGCTATTCAGCGGTGGTGTGCCTTAGATTTTAGTTCCCACGGTTCACAGTCTTAAAGTAAATAAATATTTATTTAATAGGAGATAAAGACGATTCAGCGAATAAGGTTTTTTAACGATGATGTCATTTATTTAAGCAGAGTTGGATAGTAACTGGCGGTGGAATCCAGGATGTAAATTTCGTCTTATTAAGGATTCGTCAGCCGGATGTATTTTGATCCGAGTTGACATTTAGCCCGGGAGTCAAACCCAGTATCTTTCGCTTTAAGTGCCACTGCATTATACGATTAGTCACTCAGTTCAGATAGCTACGTGTTGATGGAAACAACTGAATTTTATTTCATTTCTGTTGGTTGTTATTAAAAATATAAAAATCTAAAATAAAATAGATTACTAGTATAGGGGTTGGGGAGATTATTAAGTTTTTGATTGAGATCATGAACCGATTGATGTTAGACCACCTTTGGAAACCTGGAAGCACTGGACGGCCGTTCCGTCCTAGTATGGGACTCCTCAGCAGTGCGCATCCACGATCCCGCACACATCGGTCGAACCCAAGGCCTTCGGTCTTGCGCGCGAACGCTTAACCTACTGGACCACTGAGCCGGCATCCAATGGTAATAGTGTCTAACGTCAACCAATCCACGAAATTGCGCGACCATCTTCCATTGTACTGAGGTAGATACCTGTCCCTACCCGACATGGATTATCTCCACTGGTCACGGTTTCTCACTAGAACTCCGAGAATCTCCTCACGAAGCTAGTCACTAGTGAGCACATGTTAATTACTAGTACTGCATCATATAAGATAATAATTGAAAATGTTTCCAAATTTCAAGACTACGTAATAGACTAAAACAGAACACATATAAAAGTTGACTGTCAACTTAAGAAGTGTTAACAAGTTATTGATCAGTTGTTTGGACTTATCAATTATATAAAACAAGCAATGTGTTAATTCACGGACTAATAAAAACGATTATTAAAAGATATTGTGGGTTAGAAATAAATGTCCATTAGGTGAATATAAAGAGCATAATAAGCAAATGATATAACAATAGTTAGTTAATAATTATGAAGAAATAACCAAAAGGTAATAACAATATATTGATGGAAATGGAAGACAAAAAAGAGGTTTCAGATAATATAAAATGCCAAATATGTTGATTTTATAAACATAGATTAAACCCTTTATAAACAAAGATGGTTGGTGGCTAGCGGTGGAATCCAGGATGCACGTCACGTCCTATTTGTGACTCATCAGCTGGATGAACCTGGATTCCAGAGTTGACGTTCACTTCACGACTCAAACCCGATACCGTTGGCTTCAAATGCCATCACGTCCTCATAGCCACTAAATTGTTTAGCAGAGTGAAGTCTTAATTCATTTTGTATCCAGCTGACGAGTCCTAAATAGGGTGAAACGAGCGTATTGGATTCCAACACTAGTCACCATCAAACTTTGCTCACAATGCTCGTGACTTAAGACAATATCGGGGCAAGCCACATATGCCAATAAGTGACTGGTCGATTGATCAGTCCTAAACATCATTAGAAAGATTCTAACAACCACTACAAAATGAATTTAAACTTCAACCCATAGCACAAGCTGTTGGCTACCAGAACTTACTAGCTAAGTGGATTAGGCGATGGCCTTCGAAGCGAATGGTACTGGGTTCGAGTCGAGGAGTGAACATCAATTGTGAACTACAGGTACATCCAGTTGATGAGTCGCAAATAAGAAGAAACGCGCATCCTGGATTCTACTGCTAGTCAATAATTTTCTTTGCTTATAATGCTTGGAAACTAAGGTAATGTCGCAGCATTGCTCACAGCATGCATATATGCCAATAAGAGACTAATCAGTTAGAGTCTAAAACATCGATGAGTTTTACATATTACATTGCTATCTATCCTTTATCAAATAAAGACAAAAACTGAACAAAGATTATCACTGGCAATAGGTCTTCAGCCATACTAGTTGTCCAAAAAGGATACCCAAGTTCAGGGGAATGAAACATTTTAAATTACATATAAATTTAGATTAAAACTTGTGTTGAAATAATTTGGGTATAATGAGAAATTGTAGGATAAATTGAGTATTATTGAAATTCCTTATATGATTGTAAAATTAAAAATGGTAACAATAGACCTAATATTACCAATAATAATAATAGTAATAATAGTAATGTACATTTACATGACGATATTACATACGGGGTTGGTAGAGAAAGTTGTTTGTACATTCTGACTCCCTGTAAACTCTTATAATGAAATTACTTGTTTGATGTGTTAGTAATTACTCAATAAATACTAATGAGAAGATACAAGTAAACAATACCAAGTGAATCTAAACTTCACCCCATCGCACAAGCAGGTGACTATCAGGACTCAGTAGCTAAGTGGATAATTTGATAGCATTTAAAGCTAATGGAACTGGGTTCGAGTCCCGGTGTGAACATCAGTTGTGGGATCTGGCGAGTCCCAAATAGGATAAAACGCGCATTCTGGATTCCACCGCTAGCCACCAACTATCTTTGCTTAATAATCAGTTGTTTGTTCAGAATAATTGGACAGTTTCTCTCCTGATTTTCACCTGTTTGTGTACATCATTCTTGTGCTAAGAGTTTGATAAAGATGTTTGCCAATCTTTGTAATATAGATTTACAATAGAATTAATGATAAAGTTTCGTTTTATTTAGATATCTTAAGTTTCATATATCTAATTATTAATGTAGTTTACTTCCTAGAAAATTTTAAACTTCATCTTTATCCCAAAATCTATAGATGTAGGTTAGTCATTATTCCTATTTAAAAAGGTCATTTATATTTCTGTAAAAGATTTACGGTGAAACTAAAATTTATGGACAACCAAAGTGTCCTTCAGAGTGTCTACCTACTAACTAGGGCTAAATGAAGATTATAAAGTAGTTTTGAAGAATAAAGATTATGATTCACAGTTGATGATTATGGTTAGAAATCAGATTGACGGCTTTTCATCATGAACTGACATCAACTAAAATGCCAAAACACTATTTGACCAAATGGATAAGTGAATTTCGCTTCAAAATCCGAGATCTGTTATCTTATACCTGACTGGTTCGTCCACAAGTTATATACTCGACGAATTTTCCATTATTTCATGATTTTCTGCAATAGAACAATCAATATTTATGTAATTAATGTTTTACTTTTTTATTTTTAAAAAAAATTCTAATTAGTTGTTCAAGTTACTGAAATGTACTTGCTGGCAAAAGGAACATATCGGTCTACAATAAATGAACATTTATGCAGGTAAGCTATTTTTTATGTGCACTATCTTATTATAAGATTGGATTAATCTTAATGACTTTAACAAAAAAAATTTCGTATCAGAAGGGGTTTTGTGGATATTATAGTAATTTCAATAGTTGAATTCATGAGTTAATTGAAGCTAGATCATCATGGAAAGCCTGGAATCACTAGGCGGCCGTTTCGTTCTATTTTGAGACTACCCCTCAGTAAGCAATCACGATCACGCCTCGCGAGATTCGAACCCAAGACCTATTGGTTTCGGTTAAGTGTTCGCGCGCTAGACCGACAGATCCTGGATTCGGATCTTGTGAGGCGGGATCGTCGATGTGCATTGCTGATGAGTCACACAGTAGGACGAAACGGCTTTCCAGTGCTTCCAGGTTTTCCATGATGATCTAGCTTCAACTGACCCATGATTTCAACTATTAAAACTAATAAAATTTAATTTTAACGAAACTATTTCTTTGAATGATTTCTATAATTGATTATGTTACTAACCAATTAATTTTAAATGTGTGTATAATAGAGATGATGTTTGATTCAGACTATCGTGTTAGATCAGCTTGTCCACTGTTCCTTAGAGAAGAATCTTTGTGTTAACTAATCATTAATATTTGAATAATTTATTCAGTATTCAACGATTATCAGATTTGAATGATAGTTATTTAAACGTTGTGTAGACACTCACCACAAAACCTCTTTATTCAGTATTGATCATATAATCAAATATACTGAATTTTGGGATATAAATCCTGAAGTTTTAATGTGAAGTGATCAATGAAGATAGACGTATTTGAAGTGAATCAGTAACTCACAGATAATACTGACTAATAATTATTATATCATGAACTGATCATAGTTGATAATGTACAGCAGTGGATTTAAACAATGAATTAAATGTAGTATGCTCATACGGTGAACCTTGACGGTGCATGACTCAGTTCCAGATGGCATCATATACATACACTGATGAAACATCCTTAGCGAATATTAAAAAAACCTGTCTTCTCCACTGCCGTACAATTAATGTCAATTTAACATCAAAGAAAAAATTATCTTTGTTCAAATAAATTTACTCATACTTGTTGTCAATAGTAAGCCGAATGAATATCAATTCTTGGTGACAACTATGATCATTGATTTGACAGGAGAAATGTAGAAAAATTCTTGTTCAAGGGAAAACTTCACGAATGCCAAAGCATTTCCATGCTACTGTTATCAGTGAACAGACCCATAAATTTAATCTATTAAGTCAAAAGTCAACCAACAAACTATTGTAACCAATGGTTGGAGACTGGGTGACATGGCTAAGAATCGATCACAATGGCGTCGGTGTATACACTCTATATCTTCCCTTAAACTAAGAGATTAAAATGCCTTCATATCTTTCTTTCTACGAACTAATTCTTTCTCCCTTTACCATGTCTTTATATGCAATTTTTTATATATAATACCACTGAGTTAACTGCTTCTATAAATCTGGTGTTCATCTTGATGTGCTAACGAGGTATGACAACTTGAACCGATGCATGTTTGTACCTGGTCCTACGTTGTAACCGACTGACTGGCAACCAACAAAAGTGATCAATACAAGTGCAAAGAAAAATGATGACAACAAAGCCAATGAAAACAGTTACTCACTAAGTATTGAAATAAAATGATATCATAATTGTGGAATAACTAGAACGTTTACTTTTACATAAAGTAGAGTCTGAAAATGCTGTCCAGAATGACAATGAAAGCAAAATAATTAAAGTATCAAACTCACCAGACACATGAACACCATAAATGTATGGAAAAAATTTCACACTGACCTCCTGTAGGACTGAGATGTAATCACAATTGATTGGTCACTGGGTGGTGATCAATGTCATGCTTGTCTAGTCGCGGCTCCTAAAGCTCAGTGATAACGTCTCTGACTGTGAAGCTGGGTGACACGGGCTCTAATCCGCCAAGGAGCACCAGTTCCCTCAAGATTACAGGTACACCTTCCTGACGAGTGCCACGTAGCACGAAACCCGGGTTCAGAGTTTCCTGTTGACTACCTCCAACCACCATCTAGTCTCAGTACATAGTGCCCGCAGTGTCGAGTCACCTAGACTGGTGGCCACATTGCAACATGATCGATAGCATTCGATCTGCACTAATAAGGACTAGACAAGCATGACATTGATCACCACCCAGTGATCAATCAATTGTGAAGGTTTTGTTCTCTGAGCTCGATAGTATGATTGTGGAGATTTCATCGTTCTTCTGAGCAATATCAACAGCACGAAGTTCAAGTAGAAGTGAAATGTTCAAAGTTATCAGCATATGACTAAAAAAATAACTAATCAAGATCGTGGTCTACAGGACAAGCTGTGAGATGTATGTGGAGAAATTTGGACATTTCACTTCTTGAAGTTTACGCTGATAATGTCGTTCAGAAGAACGATGAAACCAAACTATCCAGCTCAGAAAACAAAACTCCACCTTAATCATTCACGTGAGCTATAAATCTTCTTCACCATGTCAAAATGACTAAAAATTCTTATCTATATCATTCACTTCATAACTTTAGATTAATTAGTTTATCACATTTATTAATTTTTATACACACTTCAATGAATTTTAGTTTTTTGGTATAAGAAAGTGTTTTCCTTGAGATGATGGAGAGGATTTCTAGCTCAGATGGATGATTTTGATGGAGTTTTGTTCTTTGAATTAGATGGTTTGGTGGTGGAAATTTCACAGAGACTGATAGGTCCTGGGTTCAAAACTCGCGGGGTGCGGAATCGTAGATGTGCACTGCTGAGGAGTCCCATACTAGGACGAAACGACCGTCCAATGCTTCCAGGTTTTCCATGGTGGTCTAGCTTCAATTGACTTATGATTTCAATCTATGAAATTTCCAAAATCTCCATAAACCCCTTCTGAAAATAACTGATTTATTTAATGTAATTTTTAATTCATCATGTCAATCAATTAAAAATGAATTATTCATTGTTCAATAATTAATTGAAACTTTCTTAACAAATACTATTGAATTGTTTTATGTTTAACTGATTGCATGATAATTAAAATTAAAAAGGTGAATATTTCTTTTTTTAAAAAAAAAAAGAAAATACATTCATTTAAATGTAAGATGATCATTATCAGTATGGAGTTTGTAGAGATTGTTGAAATTAGATCGATATGATGAATGGATGGATGGATGGGTGGGTCAACGTTAGACCATCATTGAAAACTTGGAAGCAATAGATGAACGTTTCGTCTTATTGTGGGACTCTTTAACAGGGCACATCTACAATCTTATATGTGGAATTCGATCTAGCGGTCGATATAGGGATTTGGTTTAGAGCACTTTCAGTTTTTGAATGATGATCTAATATTGATCAATTCATGAGACTAATTTAAACTTAACAATATCCACAACTCTATACTGATAACTATACTGTATTCACTAGTGAATGGTTTCAGAATGAATTTCATGGAGTTCTAGTGAGAAGCCGACACCAGTGGAGTTCAACCGTGTCGAGTATGAGGCGGTTACTCACTGAAAACAATGATGAATGGTGGCGCGATATCGTGGATTGGTTGAAATTAGAAATTAACACCACTGGATGACGGCCGGCTCAATGGTCTAGGGATTATTCGTTCGTGCGCGAGATCGAAGATCCGGAATTCGAACGCCGCGTGCGGGATCGTGGATGCGTATTGTTGAGTAGTCCCATACTGGGATGAAATGGCCTTCCAGTGCTTCCAGGTTTTCAATAGTAGTCTAACATTTATCCATTCATGATATCAATTTAAAGGAATATAATTTTGTTTATAATCAGAGAGGGGTTTTGTGGGTATTATATTAATTTATTGGTTGAATTCATGAGTCATTTGAAGCTACATCATCATGGAAAACCCGGAAGCACTAGACCACTGAGCCGACCGGCATCCAACGGTGTTAATGTCTAACTTTAACTAATCCACTAAATTGAGCGACAAATTCACCACTATCTTCAGTGAGTTAATATCTCAAGACAGACCCGATTGAACTCTACTGCTCACTACTTTGTCATTTCATTTATAGTTATAAAATATTGATAAAATAATCCGAAATAACACCGACCAGATTATGTAACAAAACAGGTAGACTTTGAAAAATATCAAAAGAATTTATATCTTTCCATTTTTGATATATCAATCGTCTAAACGATATAAGATCGTATATCTATTCATATACATGCGTTTTCTTATACATTAGAAATCACACTGTTACGTCAAATCCATAGACAGAAAAACTTTTGCCATGTTCAGGAAACGTACATATAAATATAAATTCACTTGGTATTGTTTACTTGAATCTTTTTACTGCTATTTAGGACTCCAGTTGATCAGTCTCTTATTAGCATATGTGCATACTGTGTGTATTGCCTTGATATTGCCTTAATTCACAAGCATAATAAGCAAAGATGGATAGTGGCTAGCAGTGGAATTCAGGACGCGCGTTTAGTTTTATTTCGAACTTGTCAACTGAATGTACCTGCATCTCAGAGTTGATATTCACTCCTTGACTCCAATCCATTACCATTCGCTTCAAATACCATCACGTTATCCACTGAGTCCTAAGTCCTAGCCGTAGTAGACCATAATTATATAATAATAAACAGTTTTTTGATCCTAATTCTATTATTCAAAAAAGTATATAATGCCGAGTCATTTTCAGTATTCAAATCAAAGCAATACACTATTATTGGTTTTAAATAAATGATAAGTAATCTTTGTTTAAACATACCACTTTTGTTTATTCAACTCTTCAATCTGCTGAAGTGGATCATTGTGTTATCTACCATTATTATACTACTCTTTATGATTAAATCAACCAACCTCTTAGACAACAAACTGTAATTTCAAGTACCATTATGTATAATCCTTTCTTTTTATAAAATAAATTAAACAGTCTATTAATCAATATAGTACACTTTACTTACTATTATTTCATTTGATATTCTATTTATTATAGAGAGAATCTTCCTCAAGCTGGTGAGCAACAATGGAAGTATACAATATCATTAGATACTAGTTTTACTGATGCCTTAGCAAAACAGGGTGTTGCTTTAGAAGGTTATATTAAACAAGAGAAAAATTGGTTGGCTTCATCAACAATATTGAAATTATCTTCAGATTTAGGTGAATGTCTAGAAACAATGCAAAATATTTATAAAAACACTGAAGAGTAAGCTAAAATTTATAATTAAAAAAAAGTATCTTTCAGATTTTAATTTAATATAAAGTTTGAAGTAATTTTTCATCTTGAATTGACAGGATTTGAAGAATTATTAAAATTTATTTACTTACTTACTTACGCCTGTTACTCCTCGTGAAGGAGCATAGGTCACTCACTAACATTCTCCATCCAACGCCGTCCTGGGTAATCCTTTCTAGCTCTTTTGATATTTTATTCATCGTTTTCATATATGCTTCTATTTTCCAATGTAATCTGTTCTTTGGACTTCCTGTTTTCCGCTTCCCATCAGGATTCTAAGTTAGCGCCTGTCTCGTGATGCAGTTTGATGATTTCTGTAATGTGTGTCCTATCCATTTCCATCGTCTTTTCCTAATTTCTTCTTCAGCTGGAAGCTTGTTTGTTCTCTCCTACGGTAGGCTGTTACTGATGGTATCCGGTCAATGGGTGTTGATTATCTTGCGTAGACAACTATTTATAAATACCTGTACCTTCTTACGGGTGGTTGAAATAGTTCTCTAACGCTAACCGTTAAAACTAGGGGACAATTAATTGTTGTTTCATTTTAGTCTGGGACTTCCAAATATTCCTTTATCAAGATTTTTATATAGAAATGAACTCAAGTTTATTATATATGAGAAACCTAAGTTGGTCAAGTTCAACCATTTGGAAAACGAAAAATTTATCATTGACTGCGTTTGTAAATATAAACATCTCTTAGAGTTACCGTACATAACGATCAAAATTACAATACAAACTGATCCTAACCTCTATAACAGAAAATCTTACATTGCCACACCAGAACACTCCATACAATAAACGAATCAATTCTAAAGAAGTAGGAATCAAATACTTTGTACTGCATAAGCCTGATAAGTTCTTTAAACAAAGCCTGAAATTTATGTTTCAAAGCACCATGATTATTCTTTCATTATCGTGGTCCTAACTTTTTAATTTTCATACTTATTACTCAGTTATTATGATTACATAGAGATTATAAACCGACCAATTTCAGACCACTACTAAAAACATGAAAGGAATGGATAGCCATGTCGTCCTAGCATTGCACTCCTCAGCAGTGCACACCAGTAACCGTGCACACGAGGATTGAACCAAGGACTTTCAGTTTCGAGAGCAAACACTTAACCTCTAGGCTAGTGAGCTGGCATTTAACGGTGTTAGTGTCTAACTTCAATCAACCCGCGATAGTGCACGACCACATTCGATTGTCTTTGACCGGTCTATGGTTTCCATGAAAATCAATCATTTCCACAACTTTGTACTGTTATGATTATCTTCAATTTTTCTTCTTCACTTTCTACATATTCATCAAATGGATAATTATCTTCCAAACTTTTTGTATATCAACTATTTTTATCTTACTATTTCACATGAATCATTACATCAATACACCAACTACTTTAAGTACCTGAAGTTTTCGAATACATAATTAGTGACTCTATTTCATCAAACAACATAAATGGAGTGCTGTTTCATACTTCGTTGAAACCTATTCACGACATTATCTATGACCTTTCAAAATATGAGAGAAACTTTCAATGAAAGTAATTTAAAAATCAAGTACACAAACTTTAATGTTTATCAGGGTGAACTTAAAAGAATTTGACTTATATGTCGAAAACCGGTGCATTCATTCAGTTTGTTTGTCTTAATACACATTAAGGTTATTCCATTGACTAATCGAATTGGTTACTTCAACTCTCAACATAATAAAAAAGAACTTCTACCTTAATCGATAATTTCTATCTTTTTAACCTCTTTTTCATATAGAAAACTGTTAGTTGTCAAATTATAAGCTATTACTATTATTACAATGACGGTAATAGAATGTTTGTCCCATTTTCTATGATATATTCATATGAATTTCCTATACTATTTATAACTTATCACACAACAAAAGTGTTTCTTAATAATACAATTACACTAACATATCCACGTAATGTTATTTCAATAGTATGTGACCTTTCAGATATACTAACCATAAATTTCATGTAGATATTCTAATAGTAAATGATATGAATCTTGCCATTTTCATAGTTGAATGCTAACTGATACAATCAAGATTTTAATATATACCCTAAGTCAATTATCGTAATACAATTTTTTATAGACTTATAATATAAGAACCTTTCAGAAAAAGTTGATAAAAACATTGATTACTTCAAACATTGAGTTATAAGAGGTTAAAGATGCCACAGGTAATTGGAGTTCGACAACGCTTTAACCAGTGACACCTACTACTATGAATTGTGCTCACCTAGTGGAATCAAAAGTCAGAAGCGAGGAGGTTCAAAGATATATTTGATAGGCTATCAGTATATCGAGAATCGACTGATCTAAACAGGCTAGCAATTACAGGGTAAGTTGAGCATGGCGTTCCCACTAGCGATCTGGTGAGGATATATGACCGAGCGCCTTCATCTAGGTGAGCCCACTAAAAGTAATGTGGTCAGCATCCAATGTTGAAAATTTACAGAGCTATTGATTTTGGGGATTCATTTGCCGTTACAAGGTAAATTCCAAGATTAAATGAAGATAAAGTATCTTTTCACCAAGTAATCCTATTCGTAGCATTTAAGAAAAATGTCATAGGAAATGATCATTTATAAATGGATTTAACGATAATTTTTCACCACAAACTCACTTGGACAGAATAACCGTTAAAGAATGTGCTAAACAGTTGTTTATTCTTAATTTTGTATATGTCCAAATACTACGGCGTTAAGCAACATCGATTAAAGTGGGACATTAACACTATTGGATGCTGAATCAGTGGTCTAATGACTAAGTGTTTGTGCGCGAAACCGGAAGTCCTGGTTTTGAGTCTCGTATGAAGGATCGTGGATGCTTACTTCTGAGGTGTCCTATGATAGGATAAAACGACCATCCAGTGCTTCTAGGTTTTCACTGGTGGTCTAGCTTAGATTGACTCATGAATTCAATTGTTAAAATTACCAAAATCTCCACAACTCCTCTTAATGATATATAGGTTAGGCAATAAATACAGTGCCTGTAGACAATTCCATTAGTCTATATTTTGAAGGAGGGTTAATTCACGATATGATTTGGCCGTCATCACCTAACTACGTAGGTAGTATCAGTCCAGAATAATAATAAAGGATTCGGAATTAAATTGTCCAATTCAGTGAACGTAACATTGCAAATGAATCTATGAGTTAAAAGATTTATTATGATTTATTTTCAGAATGGGGATTTGTGGATATTGTAACTATTTTAACAGTTTGATTCATGAATCGATTTATGGTAGACCACCATCAGAAATCTGGTAGAACTAAATGACCATTTCATCCTAATATGATACTTCTCAGCGGTGCGCATCCACGATCTCACATGTGGGACTTGAACCCGGGACCTTTGGTCTCGTGCGAGAACGCTTAAAACCTAGACTACTGAAACGGTATCCAGAGGCGTTAATATCTAACCTCAATTGATCCTTGATCTTTCACAAACCTTCATCTATTTTCTGAGGTGGATAACTGTTTCCGCCAGATACGGATTGAACACCACTAATCATGTCTTCTCACTGGAATTCCAGGAGTTTAAGCTTGAAGCTGGTAAATAGTGAGCCCATGATTAATATTAGAATGGGGATTTGTGAAGATTTTAGTAATTTTACCGGTGCTTCCATGTTTTCAGTGGTGATCAAGCTTAAATCAACTCATGAATTCAAATATTATTTACTTATTAGTTATTGGTACTTTTATTATTGTGGATTTGATTGACATTCTAAGTAACTGATCTCTGATCGGTAAAACTAGTGGGCAGCACTACCATAAAATAATTGTTACTGATATTTTATAGCTGGCTACGAATGTAAGCACCAAAATACACAAAGCTGTAAACATTTTAACAATTGTCTGTCTTTTATCAGTAGTAATCTATGTATTATCTATTAGCCCGCACTCCTCCAATATTACAGACATAACTTTACCACAGTAGTGACGAAAAATCCTCACTAAAAACTCTGAAACAATCTAACTTCTTGTTACATTTATTCGACTGAAAAGTTTTCCTCCTGATAATTGTCAGAATTCAACGAGCACCTTGAGAATTGTATAAACATTAAATCAATCATTACTCAGTGGTCAGTAAGTCATTAATATCTAATTCATACACGGAGTCCGTTACAGCCCAAAGGGCTGAAGGTTGAAGTCTCAAATTGTGAAGCTAGGTGATATGGGAGCATCAGTTACTTCATGATACGCCTTACTGATGAATACTGAGTATTAAGACACCCTAATCTACGGTTTCCTATAGACTGCCCCTAATAACCTAATCAACATCATATCTTAAGTTTACTGATAGTTCGAAATTCGTCATAAACTTTATTCAAGGATTATATAGTATCCAAGTCATACATCATTTTATAAATAATCAAGACATTTAAGAGGTATCAGTCCATAACTTTTATCTTTTTGATACTTTTGCCTATGATTCCATCATCGTTTTTTTTCTAGATCTACGGAAACGGCAATCAAAGCGAATAAAGAATTACATGGAGTTGTTATATCATACTTTGTTCGTGTTAGATGTTGGGTAGGGATCAGGTAATTCGTTTATTAGTGTTTTAATCTTTATTTATTATCATCTTATTATACACTTGATTAAATGGTTTATTTAGATATAAAATTATTACAAGAGGTTTGTGAAAATTTGTGAAATTTCACAGATTATTCAACAGACTATCCGGAATGTCAACCAATCAACGTTGGGCCTCGTCTACACAACAGACACCTATACACGATATCTGTGAAATTTACCAAAACTTTCAAACTTTACGTTGAACCGGAAAAATTAGAAATGAGATTTAAGGCTTTTGGTTTAACGATTATTTTTTGGTTTGTAACTAACATTGAAATTCATGACTTATGTTTCCTTATATCTAACATTCATTAGTTGTTCTTGTCTGCATCGCAGTGTTGACATTAATATTGAGATTCAAATCCCAATGTCTTTTTCACTAGGTTACTGTTTCTACATAGCCATTAACTTGTTTAGTACTAAAGTATACTGCCAGCAGTACAGAGTTATTCTCTGTCTGAGCACATTCATCCATTAAGATCGATTAAATGGGGTTCTCAGGCTTAACAGTAGGATCATACAAACTCACAAAAGTAACCTTTGGTTTACAATTTAAATAAATAACTATCAAAATATTGCGAATCTCTGTCAATGAATTTAAATAATTCTAATGTGTCATAAGGTACTATGGCTCAAGCCTTATAGTCTGTCACAACAACTTATTTGATCGTAGCCATGATAACTAGATGTAAATATAAAGTAAATGGACATCATCACAGATAATAACTTCAAAGGTTTTTACCACGGACGATTTACATTCACATCATATATTAAGTTCATTGAATGAAACTGAATAGTGAAATGTGGTTTTCGTGACATCGTCTTCCATAATTTTGATTTTTTGAAGTAGTTAGAATAAGATTTACAGGTGAAAATGGTGAGACTATAATTTATGGATGAACCAATAAAATATAAAACAACATGTCTTGGATTCCGGCGAGAAATTCACTCATTCATTTGGCTAAATAGAGTTTTGGCATTATAGCTTATGTTAGTTCGTGATAAAAACCCTTAACCTAATTCCTAACCTTAACTATCAACTGTAAATCATAATTCTAATTCCTCACATTGGTCTATAACCCTCGTTTGGTCCTTGTTATTAGGTGAACGCTCTCAATGTCACTTTAGTGTCGGTCAAAGGTCGTCTTCACCGTGAAAAATTCGACTCGTTTAATTTCAATCGATAAGGTCTCTACAGCTCTAGTATGATATCTCGTGTCTTCTCTTTAGTCGGCGATCTCAGTAATAGTTTATAGAAAATGATGAATTCAGTCAAATGTTGTAAATTGTTTTTCTTATATTAGTCTATAACTATTGAAAGATGAGGTCTTTGATATTTCTTTCATTGGCAACTTGTTTATATTCTAATTATTGGTTAACGTTGGAATTAACGACATGTAGCACTTTATCCTAATCAGAGATTGATGATTAAATGTGCCTAAATACTGTAATTGAAGTTTCTATTGAGATTTCATTTGGCAATCTATTACAATAGTATATATTAATATAGTAATATTATACATTAACTAAACAAGGAATCCGTTTGATTTCACTTATATTAATTTATTGAGAAATAGTGATACTACTCTTAATGACTATATCAGTAATAATTTCAATTATGTTTTAAATGGAATTTATTTCTCTTCTAGTCGATTTTCTGTCCACGTACCATTTTTATTGATGCAACCAGAAAAAGAACCTAGCACTATAAATGATAATGATATACGTTTAACTACTCATACTGTTCAAGCTGATGTAGTAGAAAATCAGGTAAGTTAATACCACCAGGTTACATAGATCTAAATGATTTTCAATTTTACATTAATAATTGTTAATAATTATTATGTTTAGATTGATATCATGAATGGATCAATATTGTACCAGCATTGAAAATATGGAAGCACTGGACAATCGATTCACCCTAGTATGGGACTCCTTCAATAATGATCCATTCATGAAATCAATCAAAGGTCAACAATCTTCACAAACTTTTATTGATAATTATTATGTTACCTAATCTTTTGGCATTAAAGACAGTTATTTTAAATTATTCAGAATGTTAGTAAATTGTTTTACATACTGCATGGTATTAGATGACATTGAATAAAGTAATCCAGAAACATTGAAACAACACTGTCACAAAAATTGTGACTTTATACAACGGTTAGAAATGCTAAACAATCAGTTATTAAGGCAGCATAATTTTTTTAATATCAAATGTCAAACAAAATAAATTTATGTTAAGGACCTTCTTTTGAATTCGCACTAACTACCTAAGTCAGGTGACTAATCTTACAACTGGAATTATCAACGTGTAGAATAAATCTTGATCATAGGTCTGTTGAATATACTTTTTACTTCAATATAGTAGAAAGTAAAGCTGTTTAAAATATCTGTTATGTCCATAGCTTAGATGATCACCACGAACACGATTGACAAGTTTAGATATGCAAACTTATACAACCAACAAATGACTCATAAACCTGTGCAAGCAGCCTAAAGTCCCGATTGATTCTTTTCCTTGCCTGTCAAGTCCAGAACATAAATCTCAGCCTCCGCGATATAAATCATGTATTACAAACATACTGAATTTATATACAAACCAAACAGACCATAGTATACCATAAAATAGAAAATAACATTTGTACAAGATCTAACCAAAAGTGGCTGTGAATGTGGAAGATTGTAATTAGTAGACTGGACATAACTCAAGAATGGTAAATCGTATAATGATAGTTTATAAGTCAAAATGAAGCTTATAATATGAGGAACACGAACATGAATAGTTTAGTTACTTAACAATTACACAATGAAAATATATGTATAGTATTGATCCAGAAATAGATCCCAACAGTTACTGTTTATTATACTCGTCGAAATATAACAATATCATCTAAGTATTTTATTGTACTTCATATCAATGTACAAAAAGGTCCGTACATCAAAACTCTGTCAGAATTTACTTTGAAACTCTAATTAGAATGGACAAATAACATTGATTTGTATTAATTTACTTCTATTCTAAAAGTTCAACAAAATAATAAACAAGTCTGTGGTACAATTGTACTACCTAAACTTGTGTTACTTTCGGTTATTTATTTACTCTGAAGAAGTGGCTTTAATTAAGTCACGAAACGTCAGAAATACAATTTTCCTACTCATTGAGATATAACAGAAATGTATTTATTATTAACTCTCTACCCTTACATACAAAATAAACGAATGAGCATATGAATTAAAAAAATAGGATAGACGAATCTAAATTACTGAGTTCACTGAAATAACATACTGGATATATAGTGATGAGGAGTCCCATATCGGAAAGGTATACCAATCTAGTCCTTCCTGGTTTTCAGTGTCGATCTAAACGAAATTAGTTAATGATGTTAATTATGAAAATTAATATTTGTAACATCATATAACCTGTAAAAAGTTGTACAGGACTTAATAATAGTTAGTAGTATGTTGTAACAAAAAATCAAGAACGAAGCTACTTAATTCACCCTATAATGGTTGCTTGAATATTCCAATTGACGCTTAGGACTCTAATTGAATCGTCTATTATTGGTATGTGTGCATCCAGTAGATAATAGACTCAGTAGCTAAGTGGATAGTGCAACAGTGTTTGAAAGGAATGGTATTGGGTTCGAGTCCTGGAGAGAACATCAACTCTGAGATGCAGGTACATCCAGCTAGTGAGTCCCAAATATGGTGATACACACATCTTGGATTACACTATTAGCCATCATTCATCTCTGCTTATTACAATGCTTAAGTTTAATTAATAGATCTAACTTTTGTATTATTGTGAAAGCATTTGTGTATAAATGAATCATCTGGTGTATAAAAACACTTCAACACTTCTAGTCTCATTTAAATTACTGCTTCATGATTATCAGATGTTGAATAAAAATACTCTGTACTGCACGACGATGTGTACAACAACATACCGCTTTAACAACACTTTCAATGTTTATAACTTTATAAAACATGTTTAAATTCGGAAAATCGAAGATTATATAAAGCTGACGCTACTAGAAAACCATTTTTTGCCAACTGTGACTACTGAAAACGAGTATAAAATCATGTCTTTAGAAATTTGCTTATAAATATTCCAATGATTATATCTTATATGAAACGAAAACTAACTCATTTCATTTTATTTTTAAGGTATTGAATCTCCCGTTCATTAGTGTTAAGGACTGAATTTTGATAAGTCTGTTTGTGTATATGTGAATCCTAATTGTCATTAGGCCAGACTTCTTAAATGAAATTGGACAGTGGGTAGGATTGGAATCCAAGATGCTCATTTCTTCTTATTTGGAACTCGTCAGCTGAATGTACCTGTATCCTAGTGTTAGGACGAAATGCGCCTATTATATTTCACTGTGGGTTTAATAGCTTACTTTGTATTCTACATAATGCTAGCGGACTTCACCGGATTACAGTGGATAGAATATTTGTCAAATTTATGTTTAGCAAAATAACTATTGGATGTTAGATAAGAATCAACATTTTGAAAGAATCATAGAATCCATAAAAGTAAAACACAGATTAAATTCGTCATAATATTACTTATATTCTTCTGATACTCATTGTTATAAAAAAGGTCGTAGATATAGATCACTAGTTCTCAATGGAATCATTGATTTTACAACTATCTTGAATGCGACTGTTGGTTAGTAGATTAAAGCAGCATTGTAATCTTGGTATCGTATAATCCACCAATACAAATCGGTGAGTAGTTTAGCTTTAAAGAAAAAACAATAACTGAGTGAAATGTGTTAAGGTATCATAAGTAAGCTTTGAAGAAAGTAGTCTGCAAATTTCCACTAAATGTAATCATGACAGGGATGTAAATTAGACTAATGACATTTGAGAGTTTATACAATCAAATGTAGGATGTGAATGTATAACTATTTAGTTCAAAAAATGTTCGATTTATACTAAAGGTCTATGAACGTCTTATTCCTTTTGTGACCTAATAATGAATGTGCATAAACGTTGTGGCTTTTTAAGAATAATCAGTATTTTTATCACTGTGATTACTGTAGACATAAGTAGTATGTAGCATTAATCAGAAGTAGAATGACTGACAACAGAAGGTTGAGAAAATTGAATTGAAGAGTATAAAGTAGATTAGTTGTAATAAAAACAGGAATTTAGGAACAATGAAGTTTGTAAGAGACAATTGATGAATGATGTGCAAATAAAGTATTTCATATATGATTTTCATATTTTACGAAGACATTGTGTAATTGGTTCACCTCACCAAATCTTCGATCACTACATTACTATTATACGTTTCATTACCGATTAGTTTAAAATCAACTTTTCTCAAACTAGTATACGATGATATTAGAGATGATATTACTTACATACTTACATACTTACATGGAATCCTCAAAGCCAAAGGAAAAGAGGAAGACCAAAGAACACATTACACCGGGAAATGGAGAAAAATGAACAAGAATTAGATGGAACTAGAAAAGAAGGCCCAGGACAGAGTGGGTTGGAGAATGCTGGTCGGCGGCCTATGCTTCATTAAGAGTAACAGGCGTAAGTAAGTAAGTAAATAAGTACTTACACCTGTTACCCTTCATAGAGGAGCAAAGGCCACTAAAGATGGTTTAATTTCATTTTATTTCAAATACATGGTTTATTTCATTACTGATAACTTTCATTCTATGGAATATTTGGGATATTTTTTAAAGTTTTCCCTATTCTTTATTTACGTTGTAGCCGATGGAAGACAAATCAGAAAAGAAACAAATTGAAATACCTCATGAAGATCAAGATTAATTATTGTAAATCATAGTTGAAGTATCAATATTACATTCGTCACCAAAAGTATATACAAAGTGAAACAGCCTAGTACTTTGTTTATGTAGAAAAATAAAATTAAAAAAAGATGTTTTTTCTTTTTTGTATATCACAGTTGATTGTATCAGTTTTACAATGTACTTTTAAGCTTATATTCTATTGAATAATTTCTGTAGAAAAATGAATAGATTTTTACGTTATTTCTCTTTCTATGAATTTACTTTTCATGATTAGAAAGGGGGGTTTTATGGATATTATTAGTAATTTCAATAGTTAAGTTCACGGATCAATTGAAACTAGACTACCATGGAAAACTTGGATGTACTGGACGGCCGTTTCGTCCTGGTGTGGGACTCCTCAGTAGTGCTCATCCGCTATCTCGCCTCACAAGATTTGAACTCAGGACCTATCGGTTTCACGCCTGGTTGCTTAACCAATAGACCACTGAGACGGCCGGCATCCAACAGTCCTGATGTATAACTTCAACCAATCCACGAAATTGAGCTACCGTCCACAATTGCCTTCAGTGACATTAACACCGTTGGATGCCGGCTCAGTGGTTTGGAGGTTAAGCGATCGCGCACGAAACCGCTGAATCCTTGGTTCGAATCTCGGGAGGCGGGATCGTGGATGCGCAATGCTGGGTAGTCACATACTAGGATGAAACTGCCCTCCAGTGTTTCTAGGTTTTCCATGGTGATCTAGCTTCAATTGACTCATGAACCTAACTATTAAATCACTTTTAATTTCTTGTTCATGATTGGCTTAAATGATAGATGTCATTGAAGTATATCATGGGATAAAAACCATCTTGTTGTGGTTTTTCTCTTGACGTACGTTAAAAATAAGTCTACCAGTACACGATTTACTGTTTATGCTATGCGATCAGTAAACATAAGAAAATAGTTTCACCTGTTCCCCGCCCGGTAATTCTTCTTAATCTATTTTACGCATCTTTAATGTATTGTAATTGATGAACAGTAAAATATATAGTAGTAACATTTAACGCGTCAAATGTAAGGTTGTATTCAACATTGTTTAAAAGTAGATCTACTGAATACTTAAAGAATAGTTTCAAAACTAGCTTATTTCAATTACAAGGTCAATATTAATGTATTTAGTAAATAAATCTGTAACAATGTAGAACTTCGTACGTACGTACATCAGTTCAAGTTGCCATATCACATAAGCACAGAGATGCAGTTGTCGATTCGAATCCCGTAGTTGTAGAGGTAGTAAGAGTTTAAGCATTAATCGGAAAGATTAAGGTTTGAAGATGTTATTCAAAGAGTATAATCCAGTAAAATAAATTTGCAAAGAGAAGAAAAAAGAGACAAGAAGAATTCAGAAGATAAGAATCTGGGAGAACACAAAGAGTAGATGCACCTGACCGACTGTAGCTGCTCCCTTGATGTGGTGGTCGGGCTTGCCTATCGTGATGATTCAATCGAGCTATATTGGCCAGAATGTATGTTATATAGGTTATATCATGCTAGGTAGGTCGATTGGAGAACGGTTGGACTATAAGCAGCAACTCGAGGTCTGAGGGTAAAGTCGTACTGCTGACTGTAGAGGGGTGTGACGGCAATAAAGTGTTTCCCTCGGACAACCAGTATTCGCAGCGATTCTGCCTTCTCACAAGGAAGGAAGGGGTTAGAAAAGGTTGACTCTAAAAATGTCACACCTCAATGTTATTTCCTATATTTTGACTTACTAAGTAAATTACTTCTCTTCAATTCATAATATCTTTAATGGACGTTCCACAGTTATGAACATTACTATCATCTCTCCTTCACTTTCGGTATGTATATCATTAATTTTTTTGCTTTGTTAATCAAGTGTAGTAGTTTGAGCTGATGTAATTTATGCTAAGAACTACATTATTTATGACTGAATAACATTCCTGTTTTTTATAGATAATTTCCATAAAATTATCTTTCAGTGACCCTTAATCTGACTCCAGTTAGATCGTATGCTTGATTGTTTTTGAAATATACATGTCGTCAATCCTCGCATATAACTATTGAGTTAAATCGCCTTGGTGAATATAGCGGAATTAAATAAGCCAAATACGAGGAAGAATTTCGACTACGTATATTTTGTACATTCATCGATCCGGACAGACAATCAGAGGGACGGAGCGAAGAAAGGAGAGCGAAACAAAATGACGCGCGGTGAACAAGGCGTGTGAGACAACTCCGTTTAATTAAGCGTTAATTGATATTTATAGCCGAACAAAAATAAGCTACAGACATTTGATGAGTAAGATAGGAAATGAATGCATATACGTTCATATAAAAATGGTCAAGGTTGATAAGTGAATAACTAACACAGTCAAAACATGACTCAAGAAGAATGGAAAAATTGGCCTGTCCAGAAGCTAGAATAAATTATATGGGCTTAATATAGTAACCGACACTACAGTCTTAGATTTGTTTACAATCTTAATTAAAAAAGTAACAAGAGTTATTTGATAATTAATTTATATTATTTTGTTATCTTCTTTGTATGTAAATTGGTTACTATTTGTAAAGTCTATTGTACTGAGCAACTGTAACAAATTCAAACTAATTTTTCAAAAATTCCCATCAAATCTAAGGCCATTACTTAAACACTCAAGTAATTACAAGGCAGATATACGACTATACAGCTTCATACAGAAAATTAGTTCCGGTGCAAAATATACGAATATCAGTTCTATAAATTTACTAGGTATTATTTGCCTTAAGTCACAAGCTTTATAAGCAAAGATGGATAGTGGCTAGCAGTGGAATCCAGTATGTGCGTTTCGTCCTATCGGTACTCATCAGCTGGATGTACTTGCATCCCCAAGTTGATGTTCACACTGGGACTCGAACCCAGTACCGTTCACTTCATACGTCATCATGTTATTCACTTATCTACTGAGTCTTGATAGCCTCCTGTTTGTGCGCTAGAGTGAGGCTGGATGTACATCTAGTTAACAATTCCTGAAGCCTATTGCTAGCCACCACCATCTTTGCTTATTATTTATATACTTGCAAGTAACCTCAAAGTTTTGAATAATGAAGGGAAACACTAAAATTTGTAATAATCAGTGTGTTTGTTATTATGCTCGATTTTCCCGTCTACACTAATGTGATGATTATTTGTTTTAGACGAATATCTACACTAGATACCCTCTCAGTGTCTATTCTACCAGATTTCAACACAACTCAGAACACGCGACCAGCCTGACTAGAACGTAGGTATATTTCCACACCAAAAGCCGACAAAAACCACAATAATAATAAAGGCTAGGAGAATGGATAACTCATCTAACACATGGCAGATTATCTACTAGTCTAAGTAAATAATTAATCATTATCGTCCTCGCACACACATCAATACTCTTAACCAATCAGATTAACTTAGATTCGGCTTGTATTATATCCTGGAATTTCCCAAAGACATTGAGTAGCTGAAAATATTTGAGACATTCGTTTCAACCACTTAAAAGCTTGTAATTACATTAATTGATATTGTTCAACAGAAATATTTACATAAAATCCAGGTGTTATACGTTTTATCAGAACATTGCGTTTTTGTGGAGATTGAAGCAATTTAATAGTTGAATTCATGAGTCGATTAAAGCTAGACCACCATTGAAAACCTGGAAGCACTGGACGGCTGTTTTGTCCTTGTGCATCCACGATCCTGCAAGTTGGACTCGAGCCCAGAGTCTTCGGCCTCGTGTGTGAACACTTAACTTCTAGACCACTGAGCCGGCATCCGACAGTGTTAATGTCTAACTTCAACCAATCCACGGTATTGCGAGATCGTCCATGGTTGTCATTTATAAAAAAATTACTTTCACTGGATATTATTATTACGAATATCTCGTATTTATTTTATTGTAATTAATTGAGAATTGATTGGTCACCATGTATTTATTATTTATTTTAAAATGAACACGGAGGGATAAGAGAATTGAATTTATCAAGAAGATCCATTTGAACAAATTTTCAAAAAATTTAGAATATTCTATTGTTTATATTAAAACGCTTCTCACTCTTAAGGGTTAGTGTCGCCTCATTATTGATTAACAAGAATGAATTTTGATCAGTCTCTATAGAAACATCAATTATATTCAGATGTAGCAATAATGTCGTATTAAGGAAAGACGCTGGAAGTGGATAGGGTATACAGTGCGGAAATCATCAAACTACGTCACGAAGGAAGCATTAACTTGGGATGCTGAAGGGAAATTAAAAAGAGAAAGGCCAAAGAATACACTTCATTGAGAATTGGAAGTAGACATCAAAAGATTGTTAGCAATTGGAAAGAACTGGAAAGGATTTCCCAGGAAAGGGTTGGATGGAGAATGCTGGTGGGTTGCCTATGCTCCTCTATGAGGGGTAACAGACATAAGCAAGTATAAGTTCATATTACCTTTCGGTTACGGTTCGGAGTGAAATCCAAGACTAAGGTGTTTTCTTGTTCGAGTATTATCAATCCGACACATCTATATCATGGAGTACCTATGCTTAAAATACTAACGCCCTCAAAAAGTCCACCGTCTTTATTTGCTGATTTTTTACTAATCAATGTGCAGAATAAACTAATGGGACAACGCTTAAAACGGTCTTGCTGAAAACTGTGATGTGTGCTACTTATGTGTGCAGATATAAGTAGTATGTAACACTGGTCGGGAATAGAATGTCTTCGAGCAGGAGGTTGAGAAGATTGAAACGAAGAGCAGAGAGAAGGAAACTGAAAGCAATTAAGATAACAACAAGAATGAAGGAGCAATACAGCTTGTAAGAGACAATCCACAGATGTTCAGATGATTTAATTTATGCAAGATTTTCACATTTTACTAAACCACTGTATGACTTTGCATCAGCCAATGACTTGTTCTCCCCATCTGAGTGTTTGTTCATTGAAATACTAGTTAACAATAGTTTTAATAACCAGGAATGTGATAATTATCTGAATAAATAATTCGATATGTATGTCAG